GGGGGCTGAGGGAAGGGCTCGGAGCTTGGCGGGGCAGGCTGGGCCAGACGCAAGAGTAAGCGTTTGTCAAGCGGAAAAAGGAAGTGTGGCATCCCGGGCCGGGAGCTCAGAAGGGGCAGAGGTGCTGGCCTCGCCAAGTAGCAGGGTGTTCGGGGGGGGGGGGGTTGGGATGGGGACCCCTCCCCGGGCCAGGGCGGGAGGGGGTGGCCGCTGTGGCCCTGGCCAAAAGGGGCCCGAGGGCGGGACGCTGAGGGGCCCTGAACGCCGCCCGCAGGCGAGGGAGAAGCCGGGCAGCCGGAGAGCCGGGCAGAGGCGTCCGACGTGCAAGTGCGAGGGGCGGGGCGAGGCTGCGTGCGGCGCAGGAGGGGACGCCGGCCCCGGCTCCCGCCCGCCGTCCTTCCGCCCCGCCCTCGGAAGGGCTGTGAAGACCCGAACCTCCCCAGGGGCTGGGGGTCCGGGGGGCGGGTCCGAGTACAGCAGCGACTCCCCGGTCTTGACTTATGTGCTTTATTCTTCTTTTAAAAGCGATGCTAGTGGAGGGACCCCAATCCGGAGGTCTCGCGAACAGAGGCATCTCAGGCAGGGCAGCCGGAATATTTGCGGCACCTGCCTCTCCTGGGGTCACCGCTGATTTTACCTAAGCATCTGGGAGTAAAATTCCTAGTTTCATTCTCTAACTGCCCCTCCGGCCTCCTGGTGTCCTTACCCTTCAGGTTTTAGCTCAACTTCCGCCTGAGCGACAGCAGCGGAACCGACAGGCTGGGAACTGAAAGGAGGGCGGCTAGTAGGGAGGCACCCCGAGACCTCCCCGGGACCTCGCGGGAGCCTGTGCCTTTAAGGGCGGGGGCGGGACCAGCATTCGGGGCGTGTCCCTGGGCGGGACCTGCGTGGGCGGGGCCAGGGTGGGGCGGGGCCGGGACGAGCCTGGGAAGTGCTCTCCGCTCCGCAGCGGGCCGGGCGCCCAGGTCGGCGACGACACGGGGCCCGAAAGTCGGCTGCGCGGGCCGGCGGCCGGGGACCGGGCAGGCCGCGAGGCCTGGCGGGATCGAGGTCCGGAGTTTGCGGGTCCGAGGCCCGGCCGGAGGTAAGCGATGCCTCCCCGCCCGCCAGAGCGCCGGACCCCCAGAGTTCAACTTCTCAGGCTCCTCAAAGATTAGGAAACAACACTTTGATATTCCCGGGGTTTGCACCTAGAAAGTGCAGGCGCAAATGGGGTTGCAGCCCAACTTCCTGTACCCGCCTCTTCCTATCAGGATTGCAGATCTAATGAGAGTTACACTCCGGACAGGCGTGCAGAAGGCGCTCCATAAATGCTTCCTTGTGAATGAGTACAAGAAACCTGTCGTCCGTGGAGAGGAGGCACGTCCTGACCCTCAAGCTGGGAACACCAGAGATGCAGACATTTATTGAGCTCTTACAGTATGCTCCGAATGGGCCCCCATTTGTCTTCGTTTTGCAGATACCGAATCAGAAGCTCAGAGAGGTGAAGCGACCTCCCCAAGGCCGCGCAGCGCTGGTCAGTGGCCATGACTGGATTGGAAACCTGCAGCGTCCGTTCCTAGTCGGTGCCAAGTGAAGTTCGGGAAAACAAGAGGAGAGGGGGAAGGTCACCAGGTAAGAAAAGAGCGCAGGGACAGGCGCCTTCTGCCTCCCCTCCTCTTCCCTTCTTTTGGGGTCTCCTCCTCCCCCTCCTGCCTGGTCAGGTCATTGAGAAACACTTGTGTAAAGAATGACTAAAAAAAAAAAAAAAACCCAAACAAACCCGGAACCAAAAACGCCCAATGTTGTTTTCTGGACTTTGTTTCTCGTGATGGCAAAAACAAGGCCGCTCATGTATAACTTGTGAAAGAGGCAAAAGAAGGAAACTGGGGTGCCCAGGGCTTGTTTTTCCCCAGTTTGATTTCCTTGGGAGGAAATGCAGCTGGTTTTGCCCGGGGTGTCCAGCTAAACGGCAGATACTAGATTCCAGCTCAGCTCTCCGCTCACAAGCTATGTGATCTTGCGTAACTCACTTCCCTCTGGGCCTTGATTGCCCCATCCCAGGAGCTGTTGGCTTTGGGACCTCCTGCCATGTGGCTTTGGGCAGGTTAGGGAACTCCTCAGGCCCCGGCTCCCTCCTCCCTGCGAGGGGCGGGCTCCCTCCTCCCTGCGAGGGGCGGGAAGATGGTATCTGCGTCCTCCCGAGGACTGGATGAGAGAGAGAGGAAGGGCACCGGCGCCGCGGCTGGGGAAACAGAGCTGGCTCGGCGCCCAGGTTTGCTCATCTGTAGAATGGAAATAATAACAGTGCCTTCCCTTGGCCAGTTCTGGGAACTCAGTGAGGTCATCTGTGATAAGCGCTTCGCGCACCGTAGGACCTTCAAGAGCATTGCTTAGTCGTCTCACATCGGTGGCCCAGAGGCCAAGTGCACCCCCACAAGTCTGTTTTTGTCGTTGTGAGCCACTGCCCACTGCCCATATTTGTTTCACCCAGCTGGCCCCTGCAGCTGGGATCCCCTCGGAGTCCCAGGACCCGGCCGTCTGGCCCTGATGGTCCGGGCGCAGGTGCTGATGGGTGGAGAGGCCTGCATTGCCACGAGACACTACCTGGGGACTTGGGAAGAAGGGCGTAACTAACCTGCGTGCTGAGCCAGTCAGTCCCTCCAAAGAGCTTCCGTCCAGAGAGTGGGTTTCTACATTTGGCTTTCCTTGGGGGGGGTGGGGGGGCAGGAGCCCGGGCTCTTTGGTGACACTGCCCCTCCTTCCCATGTCACACCGCAGGCCACTGGAGCTGCCAGCTGTTTGGAAGTACGACGCTGCAGAAGGGGAAGTGGAGAGTGAGGGCCGGGCTCCGTGGGGGCTGATGAGCGGCTGGCAGCTGAATTTGCACTGGGTGCTGCGTTTGTTTTGTGTGCTGCTGATGGTGGAGATGGTGCCCGGGGCCAGGGGCCCATTTACGGGGGCCCACATGAGCCCCGTGTTTTCAGCCTCTGATGCGAAGCAGACCTCCACGGTAGACGTGTATATCCAGGTACGAAGCTGGCATCAGGTGGGGGTGTATTCATCCAATCAACAACTATTTATTGAGTGTCTGCTGTGTGCCAGGTACTGAGCTGAACCCTGGGAGATCCCAGGAATGATAAAGACAAAACTCCCTGCGCTCATGGAGCTAACAGCCTTCTGGGAGGACAGATAAAGGAGTACACATGGAAATTTCAGGTGGGGGTAAGATGTTAGCGGGAGCTGTGATGAGGAGGATGTATTTTCAATGAGTTCAGAGTAGGTGGTCACAGGTGGCTTCTATGAGGAACAGACTTCTGAGCCAAGCCCGGAATGGGAAAAGGAAGTCACTTATACAGACATCTGGGGTGGGGGTGGGGGTGGGGGTGGGGGGAATGCATTCCAGGCAGAGAGAACAGTGAGTGCAAAGGCCCTGGGGCAGCAGAAAGCTCGGCATGTTCCTGGAGCAGTGAGGAGGCCAGAATGGCTGGTATAGGGTGAGATGAGGATGGAGAGGTAGTGGTGGCCAGATTATAAAAGGCCTTATAGGCTGAAGCTAGGAGGTGGTATTCGTTTACAATAGTTGGGAGTCCGTGGAGAGTTTTAAGCAAGGTGTTGTCAGAATCTGATGTATTTCTTCAAAGGAGCTCTCTGGCTTCTCTGGGGAGAGTGGATTGAGAGGAGTGAGGGTGGGCGAGGGGAGACCAGTGAGGGGCTTCTGCAGCCCTGTAGGTGAGTGGTGGTGGTTGCAGGAGATAGGAAAGAAGTGGAGGGGTCTGCGGTAAATGTTGGGGCACACCGAGTGGCACAGAGGAAACGGAAGGGCATGGTGGTGGGAGAAAGATTTCTGGGGGATGGAGGTGCTGTGCACTCAGATGCATGGAGGGAGCAGAAATGGGGGCACCTCAGGGAGAGGCAGGAAGTCTTCCCCCAAGACAGGGAGGGTTTGGGCCATTGAGACTGGCTGCCGGGACTTGCACCATGCCCTTCCGATGTCTGTAAGCAGAGGAGAGATCGCAGGAGATCGCAAGTGAAAGGCCAGAGGCAGAGGACTGCTCACAGTGACCCCCTGGAGTCCCTTCCACCGCGGGAGGGGCCGGAGTCCCCGTTCCCAGGAGAATGGCACTGCAAACCCCTCCCTCTTGAACTGAAGGGCTAAGTGTTTAGCGCCCACGCCAGTTTGTGGGGCTGCAGAGTACCTCCACGCCCGCCCTCTGAGGCAGGCGAACGGGCAATTATACCCATTTTACAGATAGGAAAGTGATGTGTGGTTATAAAATTCACCGCAGCCTCTCAGGGCATGCTTCTCCTCCGGGGCAGGAAAACTGGACTAACCTGTGGCTTGTGCCAGATAATCTCGGAGTTATTGAGTATTTAGGCCAGCACCGTGGCACACTCAGCAGATTCTCCCCCCACCCCCCACCCCCCACCTGGGGATACATCTCTGCCATAGATGAAGGAGCCGGGGCTCAGGGAGGGGAAGCCAGGGCCAGGAGAGGGCTACATACTTTTTTGGGTGTCCTGGTGACTCAGGGAAGAGGATGAGAAGGGAATGGGGAGGAGCTGCAAAGTCCCCCACCCCAGACTGAGGGCAGGCAGTGCCACCGTGGATTTGCTGCCCTGGGGCAGAGAGCGGGCTGGCCCTTAGGGAAGGGTATGGCCTCCTTTGGGTGGGCGCAGGCGCGCTGAAGAGGAATGTGATTCTGGAGGCTGATTTGGGGGACGCGCCTTGCTGGCTCACTCTGCCGTCAGGGAAATGAAGACAGGCGGGGCTGGGCGTGCCTCCCGGCATCCTCCCTGGCTGACCCTGAGAACAAGCAGGCGGGAAGGAGGATGGGCAGGAAGGGGAGGCTGCCCCCCCCCCCCCGCTGGCTGGCCTGTCTCCCCAGGACTCACTCTTGGGCAGAAACCACGCGGGGGGGGGGGGGGGCAATCGCTTTGCCTCTCTGTGCCTTGGTCTTCGCATGTATTAAATGGAAACAATTGTACCAGCCTCCTAGATCTGTCACAAAGACCGAGTGAGATGGTGCCCAGCATAGTGTGTGGCAAAACAATTATGAGGACCTACTGTGTGCCGGGGTTTCAGAACACATAAGTGCTTGGAAGGGGGAGCACCTGGAGTGATGAGAATGTATAACTGGGGGATCTGCCCTAGGCCAGAGGTAGTCAGGGAAGGCTTCCTAGAGGAAGCATCTGGGGACCCAAGAATTAGAGGATGAGTGGATGAACGCAGAGAAAGGAGTGGTGCGCCAGGTGGACGGAGCCACGCAGTGCATTCAGCCCCAGGGGCTGGGGGCGTGGCCAGAGGGCTCCGAAATCTCCCCCACCCCTCCACCCCCCAGTCTGGTGCTGGTGGGAGTTCAGAGAGGGCTGGAGGAGGTGGAACCACGACTCGACAAAGGTTTCTCTTTCAGTCACGGTGCCACACACATAACCTAAAGTTCACCATCTTTGCACTATTTTTCAGCGTGTCGCTTCGGGGCACCAGGACACTCCCACTGTCGTGCGCCGCTGCTGCCATCCACCCCCATCTGGCGGAACCGAGGCTCTGTCCTCATTAAATAACAACTCCCCAGCCCCTCGCCTCCAGCCCCTGCTGTCTGCTTTCTGCCTCTAGGAATCGACTGGTCCAGGCACCTCTGATAATAGAGATAATGAGTGTCTTTTTGGCGACGAGCTTATTGCACGGAGCATAACGCTCTCGATTAGGTTCCCCGTGTGGTTCACGCGCCCTGTGGCTCGTGTGGGAATCTCCTTCCTTCAGCAGGCGGAGTCTAGTCCACTGGGGGTTACCGCACGTCTTGTGTATCCGTTCATCCCTCGGGGAGCCTGGGGTTGCTTGTGAACCTTGAGGCTGTTGTGAATCGTGCCGCTAGGAACGTGGGTGTGCCCTTCTCTCTCTGAGACCTGGCTTTCCGTTCCTTTTGGTATAGACATGGAAGTGGATTTACCCGATCGTTCGGCAATTCTGTTTTTTTTCCCAGTGTCGTCGAGATAGAATTGACATCAGGCACTGCCCAAGTTGAAGGTGTGCAGTTTAATGAGTTGTGTGAAATGATGACAGTAAGCTTCTCATTCCATGTAGATTAAAAAAAGAAAAAAAAGGGGCGCCTGGGTGGCTTAGTCGGTTAAGCGTCCGACTTTCGCTTAGGTCATGATCTCGCGGTTTGTGGGTTCGAGCCCCGCGTCGGGCTCTGTGCTGACTGCCAGCTCAGAGCCTGGAGCCTGTTTCAGTCTGTGACTCCTTCTCTCTCTGACCCTCCCCTGCTCATGCTGTCTCTCTCTCTCCTAGAAATAAATAAAACATTTAAAAAAAATTAAAAAAAGAAAAAGAAAAAAAGAAAAAAAAGATTTTTTTCCCCTCATGATGAGAACTCTTCGGATTTATTGTCCTAGCAGCTTTCATACGCCCCGCACAGTAGGGCTGACTAATCACCACGTGGTGCATTTCTCCCCTGTGCTGGTAATTCTCTTCTTCATTTTCTGGGGAACTGCCTCGCTGCTCCCCACGGCAGCTACACGGTTTTCCATCCCCACCAACAGTGCACAAGCGTTCTGATGTCTCCCCATCCTTGCCAATACTTGCTCTTTCCAGATGTGTTTGCTTTATATTGTAGCCACCTTAATGCGTGTGGGGCGGTATTTACAAAGCTTTTTTTTTTTTTAAATATTTTTTATTTATTTCTAGGAGAGAGAGAGACAGTGTGAGCAGTGGAGGGTCAGAGAGAGAGGGAGACACAGAATCTGAAGCAGGCTCCAGGCTCCGAGCTGGCAGTCAGCACAGAGCCCGATGCGGGGCTCGAACCCACGAACCGCGAGATCATGACCTAAGTGAAAGTCGGACGCTTAACCGACTAAGCCACCCAGGCGCCCCAACAAAGCTTTTTTAAAAAAAATTGTTTTGGTAACATTTCTTCATTTTTGAGAGACAGAGAGACAGAGCATGATGGGGGAGGGGGCAGAGAGAGAGAGAGAGAGACAAAATCTGAAGCAGGCTCCAGGCTCTGAGCTGTCAGCACAGAGCCCGACCCGGGGCTGGAACTCACGGACCATGAGATCATGACCAGAGCAGAAGTCGGATACTTAACCGACTGAGCCGTCCAGGTGCCCTCAAAGCTTTTAGCAGAAAGTTTGAGAAGAGGGAGGGAGATGGTGCCTGAGCACATGCATGATGCGACAAAGGACAAATATTGTCATACAGAGACCTTCCCACTGAGAAATCTGGGGGTTTGAAGAAGGAATACAAATGACCATTAACGCACATTTTTGAGAAGGGTGCTTGACAGGTAGTCGAGGACTTGCAATTTAACAACATTGAGATTCCTACCCAAGACCTAGTGGCGGATACTGGTATAAATCCCATTTGCCGTTGCTGGGGGGTGTGTGTGTATAATAAGTAGGGGCGGGGGTGGGGGGAGTGGTTTGGCCAGACCCATCAGATGCCTAAGATACTTGTCCCTCTGCAAGAGGCCATCAGGGCCCTTCCCATATCCTTGGACACTATACCGTTTGGTGGGCTTCTGTTGACTTCTAATCGCCAGCCATCTTTTTCTCAAACCGCCCCAAAGCACAGTAGGCAGGAAGTGCTGGGGAGCTGCGTAGGGACGGGCAGGGGTCGGTGTATAAATACCCAGTGCCCTTGCCCTCAGGATTATCTAGTCCAAGGTGGGAGTAGACCCAGCCCAGGCTCACTGGTAGTTTTCTTCCCCTCCTCTGCCTCATTTTGGCAACCGCATTCCATACACCTCCCAGATACTTTTTTTTTTTCTCTTAAAAAAATATTTTTTTTCCAAATACGTATAAATCTTTGTGTCCGGGTTGCTTCTGGCGGAACCCAGACTATGACACACTCTGACTCAGCACTTTTACTTCTAGAATTCTCTCTTTCAAAATATTTTCGCGTGTACTCAGAGAGTCACGTGCAAGGAAGTTTATTGTTGGTAACACTGAAAAATCAGACACACCCATAGGCCTGCCGGTGGGGAAATGTTACCTCCCCTGTATCCTTTGGAGTATGAAATACTCCATTGATGTTGAAAAAATCAGCAGGGAGGGGCACCTGGGTGGTTCAGTCGATGAAGCGAGTTGACTCTTGATCTCAGGGTCGTGAGTTCAAGCCCTGCGTTGAACTGGGCATGAAGCCTACTGGGTACTGGGCATGAAGCCTACTTGAAAATTAAAAAAGTAAAATATATCAACAGGGAGTCTACACAGTGTGACGGTTAAGGACAGGGTTCTAGAGGCTCAGACCAACTGGATTCCCACCCTGTCTACCACTGAGTGGACCCCAGGACATAGCCTTCGAGTCCTTATCTGTATATAGGATAATAGTGCCTTCCTCGAAAGATGGTGGGGTGGATTAATTGAGATACATTTTAAGCTCCTTGCACTGTGCTGCCTTTTAGCAGTTAATCAGAATGCTTTGACTTGTATCAGCTCCTTCATTGTAATGTGCACCGATATATGAATACACAGCATAGATGTGAAGTGTTAAAAGCAAATTGTAAAAAGAAGAGATTTAAGATGGATGTGTTTCTTTAAAACAAAATAACTGTAGGGGCTCCTGGGTGGCTTAGTCGGTTAAGCGTCCGACTTTTGCTTAGGTCATGATCTCGTGGTTCGTGGGTTCGGGCCCTGCGTCGGGCTCTGTGCTGACAGCCAGCTCAGGGCCTGGAGCCTGTTTCAGTCTGTGACTCCCTCTCTCTCTGACCCTCCCCTGCTCACGCTGTCTCTCTCTCTCTCTCTCCTAGAAATAAATAAAAATAAATAAATAAATAAATAAAACAAAGTAACTGTATAATAGGATGTATAGACAAGGTCATTGTGCCTATGAGGTCACTCTGGAAACTCACGGTGCTGGGGACTTTAGAGAGGAGGGATTGTGGAGGGTAGAGAAGAAAACGGGGAATTTAGATATCTTTAAATATATTTGCTTTTGGAAACAAGTATGCATTTGTAAATTACTCGTGTTAATTTCAAACACACATTTATTTTAAAAACTTAAAGTGTGTGGTTGGCACTTGGTGGGGCTGTTAGGGGTCGGGCTGCAGGAGTGGGTCCTCAGCTGCTTAGATGGTCCCAGTCCGGCCGCCCTCAGGGTGTCCCTCTCCCCCCCTCCCCTGCAGTGTCGGGAAGTGTGCAGCCTGAACATCTCTGACCGCTGTGATTTCATCAGGACCAACCCTGACTGCCGCAGCGAGGGGGGCTACCTCAACTACCTGGAGGACATCTTCTGCCACTTCCCGCCCAACCTCCTCCCTCTGGCCGTCACCATCTATGTGAGGCCCTGCCGGGGGGAGCTGGTGAGAGGGGCCTGCGGCCCAGGCCGGGCCTAACCCTCCCTCCCTTCCCTCTCCTCCCCTCCATACCCCAACCACCTCCAGGCTTTTTGGCTGCTTTACCTGTTTCTGATTCTGGGCGTCACTGCGGCAAAGTTGTGAGTTTGGCCTTGGGCTCACACGGCCCGGCTTCCAGTTGGGAAGAGTCCCCGGGAGGTTGATGTTCGGGTGACCCCGTGTTGGGGGAAGGATGTGAGCCGAGACCACTCGCCCCGGGGGCCCACACCGTTTGCTTTCTCTCCACAGCTTCTGCCCTAACTTGTCGGCCATTTCCACCTTGCTCAAGCTTTCTCACAACGTGGCAGTATCCTTCCATCCAGGGCCTGCACCCCGGCGGGAGGGAGGGCAGTCGGGGTGGCTGGGAGACAGGGCGGGGTGGCTCCCGGGCCAGGAAAGGGCTGGCTTGGCCGGGGACCCTGGTCGGTGTGCCCTTGACACGCTCTCCCCATGGCGTCACCTTCCTGGCGTTTGGGAACGGGGCACCTGACATCTTCAGCGCCCTGGTAGCTTTCTCAGACCCGCGCACAGCCGGCCTGGCCCTTGGGGCTCTGTTTGGTAAGAGTGGCTCGGTTCCAGGGGGGTGGGGGGGGCGGGGGAGTGGGTGCGGGGCAGGCTGAGCGTGCCGTCCTTCCCGCCAGGCGCCGGTGTGCTGGTGACCACCGTGGTGGCCGGCGGCATCGCCATCTTGCGCCCCTTCACGGCCGCCTCCAGGCCCTTCCTCAGGGACATCATTTTCTACATGGTGGCCGTGTTCCTGACCTTCACCGCACTCTACCTCGGCAGAGTCACGCTGGCCTGGGCCCTGGGTGAGTAGCCACGGGGCTGGCCGGGTGACCCGTCATCCAGGGCTGGCGGGCGGGAGGCCCAGGGGGACGCCGGGGGCATGGCCACAGTGTCCCTTTGGTTTCCCAAATGACGGAAACCCTACTCAGGCTGGCTTGAGCAAAAAAAAAAAAAAGGAACCTATGGCTCAGATAACCAGACAGGCAGAGGGGGCAGGGCGGAGACTCGGGTGACGTTGCAGACTTTTAAGATGTCACATTTTAACGAGCAGCCGAGTCAGATTGCTGACCAAAGACATCAGGGTCCCTGCCGCACACACATTCCACTCACGGTTCAAGCGACCTGGGTAGAGGCACGATTGACAGAGGGTCATAGGAACCGACGAGGGACGCCGAGATGCAGAGCCATCCCGGGATCAGCACCGTAGGAGCCCTTGAAAGGGCAGGGAATGCCGGCCAGAGACCCGGTGCCACCAGGCACGCGCGACAGTCAGAGGGTCCCGGACTCAGCCAGAGACAGGCACCACATTCGCTGCCAGGGCCCCTCCTGGCCGAACCCCGCACAGCCCGAGCTCAGGGGCTGCGGTCTTGGGGCTCAGCTTCCCCAGGGCACCAGCCCTTAGCGCTTGAATCAGGTCCCGAAGGCCACTGTCTGTGTCACGTGTCTCCGCTTTGATTTCCAGAGGGGGGGGTGGGGCAGGAAGGGAAGACGGGCCAAGGAAAGCAGAGAGGCGGGGAGGGGGCTCCAGGAAGTTGCCGTCTGCCTCCCGGCGCTGGGCTAGCTTAACACAGACCACGGGCACCAGGCGCCGGCCGTAGACCCGGAAGCCTTTGTCCTCTGGGCCTGTGGCCAACCTGCCACGTGGTGACGGCCCGCACCCCGTCCGCAGGTTACCTAGGCTTGTACGCGTTCTATGTGGTCACCGTGGTCGTCTGCACCTGGATCTACCAGTGGCAGCGGAGGAGGTCCTTGGTCTGTTCCGTCCCAGGTACCCCAGGTGAGGGGCTGAACCGAGCTCCCAGGATAGGCCGGTGGGGGCTGGCCCCCTCTGTGCCCTTCACATCTCTGGAGGCCAATGTCATTGTCCTTCTCCTCTCTGCACGTTCTTACCAATGCCCCGCCTCTGTGCTTCCGCTCGTGCTGGTAAGGCCTCCCTTCCTCACCTGCCCGTCCAGGTTCACGAGTAGCTTCCTCCTCCACTCTCTTCCCAGGGCGACATCTAAGAGCTGTCACTGCTCACATCAAGTGCTGCTCCCATATACACACATATGTGCACACGCATACCCCCCACAGTACAAATACATGCGTGTACAAATACACGCACAGCACACGTGCATACAGACACAGTTGATCCTTGAACAGCACACAGATGCCAGCGACTCCCCCTACAGGAAGTCTGCCGTGATTTTTCCTCTCCTCCCCTCTGTCACCTGAGCCTTCAGAGTTCAGCACACATCATCCCTGTGCTGTCTTCTAGACCCATTGTAGCCCATCAGGCTGGAGGAAAAGGGGGAAATGAGGCCCGGAGAGGGCCCTAAGGTCACACAGAGGCAGAACTAGGGCTGGCCATGACTCCACTTGATAAAGACCACTGTGAGTTTAGGCCCCTCTTTGCTGGGCTCAGGCTGTATAAGCTTTCCAGAGGGACTTCCAAGGAAAGTTCCAGGCTGAAAAAAATAGGACGGGTTCCAAATTCTGAAAAGTACCAAAGTGAAGTCAGCAAATGTTTGAATTACATCTTCAAGCACCCTTAACGTTACATTTGAAGATGTTTTTAGAGCGAGACTTTCTCAGTCGGTAAGAATCCTGGCCGTGCACAGGGATTCCGAGAAATCCGAGGTCCAGGGGGCCTGGACACTTGTGCCCTGACAGCCGCCCTGTCCCGGAGCCGTCCTACCCCGTAACGGTGTGGGGAGCGTCTGGGCTCTCCGGCCGGCTCGTGGGAAACACCCTTCTCTCCTGCAGAAATGCTCTCAGACTGTGAGGCGGAGCCTGTGTCTTCCAACAGCTATGACTACAGTGAGTCTGTCTCAGCGGCCTCCGCAAGGCACTGGGCTTTTCCTCGCCCCCCCCCCCCCCGCCCCACCGAGGGTTAGGAGAACCGTGGGGAGGGGAGAGGTTCCCTGGAGGCCAAACCAGCCACCAACCCCTGCCCCTCTCCCCCTCGCACACCCAGGTGAAGAGTACCGGCCGCTTCTCTTCTACCAGGAGACCACGGCTCAGATCCTGGCCCAGGCCCTCAACCCCCTGGATTACAGGAAGTGGAGGAACAAGTCTGCCTACTGGAGGGTCCTCAAGGTGTTCAAGGTAGGAAGTTGGGGGGGGGGTGCCTGGAGCCAGGCTCACGGCTCCATGATAGCAGCAGGACAGTGGCCACTCAACCTTCTCCAGCTGAATGAGAGTGGAGGGGCTGGGGTCTGCTGAGACCCTCACAGAATAGATTACCTGGGACTTGATGGGGAAACTGAGTCATAGAGCTTGGCTGGTGGCTCGGCCTGGGACTCTGCCGAGTCCCAGAAGGAAAGTTTCCACGGAGGAAAGAGAGCATCTGGGACAGAGGGAGAAGGGGAGGGGACCCCTCTTGACATGGTGACGGGAGTCTGGGGCTGGCCTGTGGGAGTAGGTCAAGGTGAGCTCAAATGAGAACGAGACTGGGTTGTTCTGACCATTTGCTGCTTCCCTGGGCGAAAGCGTCCTGGGGTTTAGACCTGAGCGGGCGCCCAGGCCGGCTGCAGATGCCTTTCGCCACCCAGAACAAAAGAGGCGGGGTCCCACCTCACAGCCCGTGTCTCCTCCTGGAGAGAACCTGGAGGCCACCAACATGGAGGCAGTTTAGGCTCCTCTCTTCCAGGGGGCAAATACCACAGTCATTTGTCCGCCACGGTGGCTCTGGGGGCATCATGACCTTGGGCTTCCCTGAGCCTCAGTCTCCTCCACAATAAAATGGAGAGAATGATACGGCACCTTCCTTCTGGGATGACTGTGATTGTAAGTTTCTGCTGCAGGAGTGCCGTGTGAGGAACAGCCCCCCCAAGGTGCCCTGACTTCCAAGGACAGTATTCTCATTCAAAGGCCTGAAGGCTGTCTGGGGGGGACCTCAGGCTGTGCTCGGAGGTTCAGGTCCACCTCGCGTCTCATTCTGGGGCCCGTGGGTGCCGGGCATGCGCTCTGGCCTGGGCTGAAGAGGCCAAGGCAAACTTTGCAAGCACACTTTAAGGCTCTGCTCCTGCCGCATTCGCCGGCAGCCCGTTGGCCAAAGCGAGTCACGTGGCCAAGTTCAACATCAGTGGGGCAGGGCGATATATTCTGCAGACTCTAATCACCGGACAAAGCGTGTGGGTGCTGAATTCTGTTGCAGGAAGGGATTGGAGCATTGTGAACAGTGTCGAGCCTGTGACGGTCGCTGTGACAATTCAATAAAAAGTAGTACGCGGAGGGGCGCCTTGGTGGCTTAGTTGGTTAAGCGTCCGACTTTTCGCTTAGGTCATGATCTCACGGTTCGTGGGTTCGAGCCCCTCATCGGGCTATGTGCTGACTGGCAGCTCAGAGCCTGGAGCCTGTTTCAGAGTCTGTGACTCCCTCTCTCTCTGACCCTCCCCTGCTCACACTGTCTCTCTCTCTCTCCTAGAAATAAATAAAACATTAAAAAAAAAAAAAAAAGTAGGGCGCCTGGGTGGCTTAGTCGGTTAAGCGTCCGACTTTCACTTAGGTCATGATCTCGCGGTTCGTGGGTTCGAGCCCCGCTTCGGGCTCTGTGCTGACTGCCAGGTCAGAGCCTGGAGTCTGTTTCAATCTGTGACTCCCTCTCTCTCTGACCCTCCCCTGCTCACGCTGTCTCTCTCTCTCTCCTAGAAATAAATAAAACATTAAAAAATTAAAAAAAAAAAAAAAGTAGTACGCGGAGGGCTGAGTATGGAGCCTGACACCCCTGCTCCGTCTCATTGCCCTTCGCTGCATTACACTTCACAGATACTGCATCTTTTTCAAGTCGAAGGCTTGCGGCCAGCCCGCGTTTAGCGGGTCTGTGGGCACCACTTTTCCAACAGCGTTTGCTTATTCCTGCGCCCCGCGTTACGTTCTGGTAATTCTTGCGGTACTTCATACTTTCATTATTACTTTATTTGGCGTGGTCACTGATTACGGCTCGCTGAAAGCCCAGATGACAGTTAGCATTTTGTAGCCACAAAGTATTTTTTTAATTAAGGGACGTACATTTTTATCGACATAGGGCTATGTGCACTTAACAGGCGACAGTATAGGGGACCCGTAGCTTCTGCGTGCTCCGGGAAACCATAACACGCCCTGGACTCACTTTATTGCGACGTTCGCTTTATTGAGGTGCAATATTTGTATTGCAGTACAAACGTGCGATGTCTCTCGGTTTGTATGTCGGGGGCACTGTGTACGTGTTGTTACTAATTCAGTTACTGTTGGGTTCGTCAGAGCTGGCCCTGTATCCCGGCTTCCCAGACCTTTCTGTGCATCTTTGGAGAAGTTTCTTAACCTCTCTGAGCCCCAGTTTCTTCGTCTGAAGGCGGAAAAAGGATAGTTCCTATGCATGGGGTTGCTGTCAGGATCAGTGGATGAGGTGCTGTGGTCAGCTGGATAAGCACTTCCCCCCCCCCCCCCAAGATGCCCTCGTCCCCATCCCCGGAAGCACGACTTTGTTACCTTCATGGCAAAAGGGATTTGCAGACGTGATTAGGGATCTTGACATGCAGAGACTATCCGGGTTCTCTGGGCAGCCTGATGTCGTCACCAGGCTCCTTCTGGGGAAAGAGGGAGGCAGGGGAGGGGGCCGGAGTCCGAGGGGACGTGATAAGGGAAGCACAGCTTGGCGGGTCCGGGGGCCACGAGCCAAGGAACACAGGTGGCCCTGGATTCTGGAAAAGGCAAGGGAACGGATTCGAATTCTCCCTGCCGCCGACACCTTGATTTTAGGAACCTGTTCCCCAGAACTTGCTGGAAGGCGCTCCGCTCTGGCAAAGGTGTCTCAGCAGCAGTTAGGAGACTAATGTAGGTGCTTGGCCTGGGCCCGCCCTAGGTCGGTGCCTCGGCCGCGTTCTCGCCTAACCGAGCCTTGGTGCAGGCAGCCCGGGCGCCGGCCTCCCTAGTGACGCCGCCGCCTTCATGCCCTTGGCAGCTGCCCGTGGAGCTTGTCCTGCTGCTCACTGTCCCCGTCGTGGACCCCGACAAGGAAGACGGCAACTGGAAACGGCCCCTCAACTGCCTGCACCTGGTCACCAGCCCGCTGGTCGTGGCCCTGACCCTGCAGTCGGGGGTCTGTGAGTATCCGGCCCTGGGCCGCCTTCCGCTTCCCCACATTCCGGGGCTTTCTTCTCAGCAGGGCGTTGGGCCAGCGGCAGAATCCTGGACATACAGCAGGCACTTAATATATGCTTGTGCTGTAAGGGACCCCACCCAGACGCTCCGTGGGTCCGGTACTGCCGGCTCTGGATGGAGGCTGCCGCCCGGGGGCCACGGCCAGCCCTCTGCTCGTTGGCCGGCGTTCACATATTCGGGGGTCTTATATCAGAATGCAGAAGGCTGGATTCGGGGCCCCGCTTCTGAAGGCAGAGCTGGCTGGCGCGGAGACGGGCGTCCCCGACCGGGGGCGTCTGCCATCCTGATCTCAGCCGTCGCCTCCGCTGCCCACTGGGGGCCTGGCTGGGGAATCTGAGTTGTGTCCGTCTGCTCCAGGCCGCCCTTGCCTTTTCTGACCTGCTCTGGCTAAAGAAACGCCCCGTGTCTTCAGGCGTCTCCCATCTCCTGCTGCTCAGGCTGCTTCCTGCCGTCTGCCTGTAGTACCTCGTGCTGCCTGCCTGTCCCGCTGTCCCCTGGGCGTCACCTGGAGGTGGCGGGGGTAGGGCTCTGGTGGCAGACGCATGGCCGGGCATCAGCATGAAACAGCCGCCATGTTCCCTGGGAGGGTTCCTCCCTGATTTTGGGGGGGACACAGTGAGACAGTCCATCAGGGCATCTCGTGTGATCCCAGAGCTGAGAAGGGCGCCCCCTGGGGGTGCCGGCTGTCTCGTTCCTCAGTCTTTCTTTCCCGGCTGAGCGCGAGGACCCAGTCCCGGGCCTTGCCCTTACGGTTTCTGAAAACCATAGTTCCCAGGCGTAGTCACTCATGAGCCACCTTTGTGATTTTTCTCACTCTGTGTACTTTTATATTTGACATTTTTCTGGAATCAGCTGTCTTTAAACTTAAATTTAGTGCGAAGGAAACCGTATCCCCTGCACTGATAGGAAGCTGGCTTAGTTGCCGATACGCGGCAGGTAACTGCAAAGATAAACACGATAAAAATTAAGCATCTGAGCCGGAAGCCTGTGTTCCACAGGGCGTTCGGCAGGCGGTGGAGGTCACAGACCTGTCGCCGCCCACGGAGACTTTCTCCGAAGGGGGAATCCCTCGCCTGAGAGGATTCTGGTGTGGCAGCATCTTGTCCACATGCCGACACCGTCCGGTGATGGACGGTCCACACTGAGGAAATTCTGGTTCAGGCTAAAGCATTTGTGACGCCCTTCTGGGCTGAACACTGTACCGAGGGACCCCTCAGACGCAGCTCCCTGTGCGAGGGGGTGTCATGTCCGCCGGTAGAGTCTCCCAGCCCCCTCGTTCTCTAGGCCACCCCCAGAGCCCTCTTCCTAAGTGCCACTTTTCATATGCTGTGGTCACCCCCTCACTCACAGACCTCCATGGCTCCCCAGTGCCTCTCGGTACGAGTCCACGGCCCCCTGGCCATCACACAAGCCAGCCACCTTCCCCAGCCTCTTCGGCTCCTGATGGCACCATGTGCCTGGTTCCTTCCCAGTCCGGCGCTCCCCTCTTCTCCTGTGGCCTCGCGCAATCTCTGCTTATGCCTCAGCTTGGATCCTCAGCACTCAAAGACGCCCCCTCCTGACCGACCCCCACCTGGCCACCTCCTAAAACTCAGGCTTAGCAACTACAGAGAAAGGGCCCCTCACCCCGGCATCAGGTTCCAGAGCCAGCGCTACCAGCCCAAACCATGTTCTGTCAAAATTACCTTGAGATTCACGCTCAGTATATCGGGGACACGATTTGGGGCATCAGCTCCCTCGTGTAACTCCTCTGCCAGCTGACACTGGAGAGCCCGCGAGCTAGACCGAAACAGAACAGGATGCAGGGGTCTGGGTAGCCAGACCATCCTCTGCCTGCGGGGCCAGCACTGGCCCCCCCAGTGGTAGAAAGGGCTGTGTGTGGAAGATTCCAGAGCATGCTGCCCGCCCCTAGGCAGGGCTTCCTCCTTTTCGTGTTTTGATACGAAGCTCCTGGATCTTTCATAACTTTTACTGGTTTGGTTTGTGGCATGGGTGTGTCCAGAGAGCAGGTGCTGGGCTCCAGGTCCAGTGAGGGAGGCGCGGGAATGACTGTCCAGCTCATTTGGTGGAGGGAGGCTCCACCTGTTGGCAGTGCCTGGCCGGAGGGGGCTGCCTTGAAGCTGAGTTTGAGGAGGCATCCGCATCATGGTTGATTAGTGATGTCTGCCATGGCGTGGGAGCGGACAGTGGTGGTGAGCGGGCCTAGCCCCTCCCGTCCTCGAGTCCATCTCTCACATGTCGGCCGCCTTTCTGATGTGACTAGCTTGAGGCAAGGGCTCTGCTTTAATGTCTGTGCCCCCTTGCAGTGCCTGGGGCGGCACCGGGCACACCGCGCGTCCAGCAGTGGAGTGTGAGTTTCAGCCCTGGCCTTCCTCTCCACCACCCCTCTCACCCGTCCTGGGGAACGCGTGTGCCCCCCGGAGGAGGGGCCGCGCGGAGGCAGTGGACAGTCCCAGCCCCCTTTCTTGGCTCTCTGCAGATGGCTTCTACGAGATCGGCGGCCTGCTCCCTGTCTGGGCCGTGGTGGTGATCGCGGGCACAGCCCTGGCTGCAGTGACCTTTTTCGCCACATCCAACAGTGAGCCTCCCAGGTGTCACTGGGTAAGAATCCTCAGTTCTCCAGCGTGGGAGGCGGGACCCTGGAATCTCGCAGAGAGATGTTTGTTTGTGCCCCCTGAGCAGTTAGGCCCGTGATCACTTTCCTTTCTGTGATGACAGGTCTTTAAAGCCATTTTTGATAGGTTTTCTTTTTTAAGTTTATTTTGAGAGAGAGAGAGAGAGAGTGAGCCCGCATGAGTGGGCAAGGGCAGAGAGAAAGAAGAGGAGAGAGAGAATCCCAGCGAGGCTTGAACTCACAGTGAACCAAAATCAAAAGTCAGGGCGCTTAAGTGAGCTGCCCGGGCGCCCCACACTGTTGACGGCTTTGTACCTGTTCAAGGTTATTTATTTATTTTTTTGTAACAGCTTTGTTTTATTGAGATGTAATTCACATACCATGCAATTCACCCCGTGAAGTATGGGATTCAGCGGTGGTTATTTCATTCACGGAGTTATACAGCCATCACCATGGTCAGCTTTAGAGCGTTTCAACCCCGAGAAAGAAAAGCCGCACCTGTCGGCCATCGCTGCCCTCCCTTCTTCCCCAGCCCTGGGCCACTGCCGGTCTGCTTTTCGTGTCTGTGGATTTGTCCGTTCTAGACTTTTCACAGACACATACGCATACGATATGTGGTCTTTTGTGACTTTGCCTCACGTTTTCAAGGTTGTTGGGTGCATTAGCAGGGATTAGCAAATCACTCCTTTTCACGGCTGAGCACCATCCTCTGGACGGACACGCAGCACATTTAGTGTGTTCGTCACTGATGGACGCGGGTTCTTTCTACTTCGGGGATGTTACGAGGAACGCTGCTGGGAACTTTTGTGTAAAAATTTGTGTCGGAGAGGTTGGGTTTCTCTTGGGTGCTTTCCTAGGTGAAACTGTGGGGTCAGACGTTCCGTTTCACTTTTTGAGGAATTGCCAGGCCCTTTCCTGCTGCAGGAAGAATGTTTCCGACAGCCAGGTCCAGGGATGGAACGGTCTGGTGTTCCTGGGTGGGTTTTTTTTTTTTTTTTTCCATTCTCTCCACCCTGCAGCACCCTGAGGAATTTTTAGGCAGTTTGTCCAGAGTTGACTCTTAAAGTTTCCTTTTTTTTTTTTTTTTTTACTGTTTATTGATTTTAAAAAATTGCGGGCTTTGAAGCGTTACACATCCCAGCACGGATGTGCCTTGAAGACATGACGCTGAGTGAATGAGGCCAGTGACAAAGGACCGCGTGTTGTGTGCGGTCACGTCGATGGTGTGTCCAGAACATGCAGGGAGCAGAGTCGTAGCCGCCTGGCACTGGAGGGAGGCTGGACGGGGTGGAGTTTCTCTCTCTGGTCGTGGGACAGCATTTGGCCCATAGACAGGAAGCTGAAGAGAGCTAGGACGGAGGAGTGATACTGAGCTAACCTTTTATTGAGCATGTACTGCGTGCCAAGCACTAATTGCTTTGAATCTGGTAACTCATGTATGCTCATGACAATCTCAGGGGGTAGGTACTGTGATCATCCCATTTTACTGATGGGGGTACTGAGGCCATGTCCCTGCTGGGGACCAGGATCCCTGTCGGGGTTTGGCCTCGGTCCATCAGCGCACCGTTCCCTCCCCAGATGTTTGCATTCCTGGGCTTCCTGACCAGCGCCCTGTGGATCAACGCCGCCGCCACAGAGGTGGTGAACATCTTGCGGTCTCTGGGTGTCGTCTTCCGGCTGAGCAACACTGTCCTGGGGCTCACGCTGCTGGCCTGGGGGAACAGCATTGGAGGTGGCTCGGGGCCGGGTGGGTCTGGGCTGAGTGCAGTCACCTCGCTGCCCTTTGCTCCCCTAGCCAGAGTGTATGTGAGCAGCTGCCCTCAGCGTGTGCTCAGGCCCACTGCCGTTTGGGAGCGACCATAACTGGGCATAGTGGAGAGATGGCCTGGTCCGTACCTGGGCCAGGAGACTCTAGAAGCCCTCACCTCTTCCCTCTGTGTGACGTCCTGACATGTGGCTCCTCATAGTTCAGGCGGGACACGGAGCCCATTCCCGCCATCCATGCTGATGTGTACATGGCTGTGCCACATATTCGGGCATTCATGCAGGCACACCTATACCCTTCTCTAACTGCTGGCTGCCAGATAGGGTTAGCTAGGTTGTGCACTGCACAAGAGCATTCAGACAAGGAGTTAGGGGGGCTAAAATCTAGATCTCCTTCCATTCACCCTTTCCTAATTTGCGTAAAGATGCTATGTGTGCTAGCGGTAATGGCGTGCCACACCCCCAGAGTTGCCCCCGGGTGGGAAGGGATGGGAGAGAAAGGATTAGGGAGGGAACTGTGCATGGGATTCTGTGGCCAAGTGCCCAGCCAGTCAGTGCAAGGCCCCGATGCACGTTCATCAGTGTTGATGGAATGACTGTGGGTAAGAATAAGGAGGGAATGACCAGAGGCCCGCGGGGTGCCACTCACCACCATTCAAGGCGGCCTCTCGTTTCTGTGCAGATGCCTTCTCAGATTTCACGCTGGCGCGCCAGGGCTACCCACGGATGGCCTTCTCCGCCTGTTTCGGCGGCATCATCTTGAGTATCCTTCAGGGGGCTGCCCTCCCCGTGGCACCGGCGGCACAGGCCCCCGCAGCCGTGGCTGTGTGCCGTGCTCCACTCTTGGCATCGGCTTGTGCTGCGCCACCTGGGGCAGGTGATGTAGCTGCTTGGGCCTCAGCTTCCTCATCTGTAAAATGGGGGTGTTGAGAGAGGGGTGACCTCAGAGTTGTTGTAAGGGTTGAATGAGGTGACAGAAATGCTTGGTGCCTGGCAAGCCCTCCGTGGGCGGCAGATACCACTCTAAGGGCCATGGTATTTTCAGCAGATGCCTCCATGCTGAGCTTCTGTGTGCCCTTTGGAAGACCCTCCCCCTCTTGCTTATGGATGTCATGGCCTATAGATGTTGGGGATTGGCAAACTTTTTCTTAAAGGGCAGAGAGTAAATATTTTAGACTTTGTGGGCCATGCCAACCTCTTTTGCAACTACCTGACTCCTCTGTGGTTGTGTGGAAACAGCCATAGGCAATACAGAAATGAATGGGCGTGGCTCTGTTCCAATAAAACTTTATTTATAAAAGCAGACAGTGGGCCGGATTGGCCGTAACTTGCCACGCCCTGGTCTCGATGGAAAGGACAAGGACAAGCCCCCTGGGGCTGAGAAGAAAGGGCTTTAAAAGTAGACGGTCTCGGGTCCCAGTTCCAGGGCCACCAGGCGCCCCGCTGTGTGGCCTCAGGGCTTTGCACGCATCTACCCTCTGAACCTCAGCAATTTGCAAATTCAGCAAGGGACGGGATGAAGACTGATGATGGGGGTAAAGCACCCAGGCCAGTGCCTGGCACATAACGTGTGCCCAGCAAACGGGAGATGTCGCTGGTTGTGAACTAAAGTGATATTACTTGAAAGCACTTGAAATGCAGCCCCCCCCCCCGCCCCCGGGCTCCCCGATGCGAGGGCCTGAGGGGTGAGCCTAGGGCAGGGCCGTGGCCGCACAGCACAGCCAGAATGGGCGGACGCTGGCCATTTGCAACTCCCTGGCTGACCGGGGACTTCCAGGGGGGTCCTTTGTGCCCACTGAGACCTGGTGGCCTCTCCTGATCCCTCAGGCTGGGGTGGGAAGGAAGGAGCCCTGCCTGGAGCAGCGTCCCTTGAACAACACCCAGAGATGACCTTGACCTGTGCTCTGTCCCAGGTCACCCCCTCTAGCCGCAGGAAGCCCCGTGCTTACCAGGGACCAAGTACTTCTGTGACTTCATTCCCTCCTTGCAGATTGAGAGATGTGCATTAAACGGCTAAAACTGGAAAGGGTCTCCTTAGGGTTTGGGGGCCTGGGGGGAGGGTGCATAGACCACGAGGAAAGCTGAGGGGCGTGCGGTCGGGGCTGTGGGCTGTTGTTTCAGCAAATTCCTGAGCCGGGCGACAGATATCCTGGTAGGAGTAGGGCTGGGCTGCCTACTGCAGATCTCCAGGAGCCATGCGGAGGTGAAGGTGAGTGGCCGGACCCTGTGCAAGGGGCCCCTTCTAGGACTTTCCTTTCTTCTTTCTTCTTTTTTTTTTTAAAGCAGGCCTCACGCCCAATGCAGAGCCCCGTGGGGGACTTGAACTCATAACCCTGAGATCAAGACCTGAGTTTCTCTCCCCTCACCTTTCTCCTGTCCCCCAGCGCGAGAACATTCCCATCTCAGCAGTACACACTCGCAGGGCAGAGGCGTTGTCTGAACTGTGACACGTCTGATGTGTAGAATGTTTTAAAACTATCTTGAATATAGGGTTGAAAAAAATGTATTCCTTGCAAGTTCACAGAGTAGCCGGGATGTAGCCGTGGGGGGGCGGGGGGAGGGGTGTCAGGAAGGCCCTGGATTTATGTCCTGGTCCCATCAGATAAGTCTCTTGCTGTGTGACTTTGGGTGAGTTAGGACATCTCCGGGCCTCAGTCTCCTCACCTGTGAAGTGGGTTTGATGGCATCTCCACAGGCTCCCTGGATAGCGTGCATGCGGTAAGCGCCAGGCTGAATGCCTCCCAACACTGCCCGCAGAGGACAGACTAGGCTGGAGGACAGGCCACCCCGCAGGGGCCTGGAGAAGGTTCTGTGACACACTGAGTGGAGGTTCTCACGCTTCAAGGATGCCCAAGGGGGGCAGGAGACCCCCTGACCCAGGCGTTCCGGTGGGAGTGGGCTGGAAACTGCATTTTAAAAGAAGCTCCCAGGGGACTGACGAAGGCACGTGGCTTGGGAAACCCTATTCTAAACAAGGCTGAAAACGGCACCACTTGTCAGGACCAGGGAGGTAGCCAAAACGTGTGAGTGGTTCAGGCAGGCCTCATGTGGCCAGAACCTCCAGATCTTCTAGAGAGGAAAGCAGGATTCCTAGGGGAACTTTCTCCAGTCTCAGATGTTGCTCAGGGCAAGCGGAACCCAGCACAAGGCAGATTTGACCCGCCAGCCGCTAGTTGGCCTTGCACCTCGGGCATCTCTGTTCTGGGGGACCCGTGCCGGCCTCCCACGCAGGAGCAGTTGAGGTGCTGTGGGGCTGGAAGATGCCGTTATCGGTGGGGACAGCCAGGGGCTCGGGTTGGCGGTGACTCTTGTGGCCGGGCTGTCACAAGCAGGTGGTGACAGGGCCAGCCTTCACGGTGACGCCCACAGGCAAATAGCTACTCACTGCTTGGAAAGTTTGCTTTTCTAAAAGGTAAACACAGGCTGCAAATTTTGTTTATACTCTTCATGGGTTCAGTAGGCTTCTTCCATAATCAGTTCCCAGGCAGTTCCGGTTAATGAGGATTTAGGGTTGGCTCCCCGAGGGGCCGATTTCTTCCTTCTCTTGCTCTTTGTGGTGTGCACGTGCCCATGCCTCTTTGTGTGTGTGTGTGTGTGTGTGTGCACGCACATGCCTGCATGCATTCCACTGCTTTGTGCAGAGTTTAGGAAACACTGCTTCTGCTAATTAGGATGGAAGGCATTGTGGATGGACGACCAGGGGCTGGTGTTGGCTGGAAAACACAGGCTGCTCTTAAACACGATCTCACATACGATTCCGTTTCTGGTTTCAGGATGGATGTGCAGGTCTCCGTGTGTGTGTGTGTGTGTGTGTGTGTGCGCGCGCGCGTGCATGTGTACCCACATGCACGTGTGCATATGTGTCCCTGTGCAGGGAGGCAGGCTGGGGTATCGCTAAGAGCTTGGATATTGATCCAGGCTCTGGCACTAACTAGTTTCCTTGCCTGTGCGTTGGGGGAAGGATGCTCCCCTCACAGGTGGCTGGGAAGAGGAGCGACTACATGGTGCCGGGTAAAAACACCTAGCACAGCACCCAGTATCGAGTCTTCCGTGGTCATTAATGCTAAGCCCAGGAGGGAGAAGCAGGGAGAGGATCATCACACTTCTTTTTTCTCCTCTGTGTTGCTTGAGAGCTTGAACTTCACCCTCTGCACAAAACATGCACATGTAACAGACCGTGTTAGTTTGCTAGGGTTACCATGACCAATGGCCACAAGTACGGTGGCTTTCCAAAGCATGGGACCTCAGGGCGGGGCGTGCCATCCCACGGGGCCAAAGGCCCTGCGCCGGCCGCTGGCGAGGGTAGGTGACTGGTGGCTGCGGTGACCCAGCCTCTCCCTGTTTCCCCCACAGCTGGAGCCAGACGGACTGCTGGTGTGGGTCCTGGCGGGCACCCTGGGCCTCAGCCTCGTCTGCTCCCTGGTCTCGGTCCCCCTGCAGTGTTTCCAGCTGGACAAGGTCTACGGCTTCTGCCTGCTCCTCTTCTACGTCACCTTCCTTGTGGTGGCCCTGCTTACCGAATTTGGGGTGATTCGCCTGAAAAGTGTGTGAGCCGCGCCGCATGGCTGGGGGCCCCCTGCTGGCCGGGAGGCATCACTGCAGACAGCGAGATGGAAGCCCGGCCTGGGGTGGCGCCACGGAGGCCGGGGGGCGGGGGGTCTCGGCTGCTGCCCTGCGCAGGGTGACCAGCTAAGCCTCGCCTCTGGGACGCTGGAGACCGGGCTTCGCTATGGACAGAGTTGCAGACAGAAGGTAGACATCCTTGATCATTGGTGGAGCCTCTTGGAAGGTGAAAGGGATGACGGAGTGCCTTCCAAGCTGGTCCTGGAAGACCAGCGGAGCGCTGGGGCCTGGAGCCACATCGTGCTGCCTTCCTGCGTCTTCTCGGGACTCCCTCAAACTGCCGCCAAAGCCGGGCCCGGTCAGGGTGACTCCGAGGGCGGGCGGAACACCACGGGCCTCAGGCCACCTTGGGCTGAGTTCTCCAGCTGCACCACCCGGCAGACGAGGCCGTGAGACACCTACCTGATTTTGGAATTTCTAGTCTCCATGTTAATAAAAGCCCAAACAAACGGGAAGTGAGCGGTACTATATGGCTCCATGGCTCCAAACTATTGGCACGTGGCTCTGGCTGCTTGGACGGCACGGCTCTAGCCTCTACCTCCGGAGCGGTCCGCTGACTGTCGGCAAACACCTCTGTGTCCTGAGCCTTGGGTCTCCCCAGCTGCGAGACAGGAGTCATTTTGACTGTGCCCTGCGTCTACCTCAGGGGGAGCCCTGGGCTGCGGTCACAAGGCCCGAAAGCTCCAGGGAGGACACGTGGAGTGCTCCCCAGCACCTTCCCGCTGTCCCTCCGCTGACCTGACTTTCGAAGGAGCACCTTGGCAGTTTGCCCGACTGCCTTGTGCCAGCAGCGGCAAAGGGATATAACGGTCTTTCTTTCCAGGGAAAAAATTATTAAATGTTTCAAGTGTACAGAAAGGAACAGACCCAGCTCTTACTGGCTCTTTCTTACCTGGGCCGGGTGGTAAGCGGCCGGTGCCAGGGCCAAAGGCCTGATGGATCGAGCTCTGCGGCACACCGAGGGGTGGGGCTGAGGTGGGGGTCAGGGCTGACCATGGACGAGCCCTCCCCCCCTTCCCCACAATAACCGGAAGCCAGGATCGGCACTTAATGGAAATCACGAGGCAGCAGCCACGCTTACAAAGCAGAGGCCTTTTTTATTAATATGCCAGAAACCCGGAGACATAGTGGGTTTTCTAGGTAACAAAACACCGATGTACAAAACCTTGCTGTGTTGCTCCCGCTGGCCATACAAAATGATTGTCGCGTGGTGTGGAGTAAGGCAGGGTTGGGGGAGGGAAGCGAGGCGAAGGGACCAGATGGCATCCCCCCAAAGCGGGGCAGGGCACAGTGCCATCGCGGCTGCTGGCGAGGCTGACCTTGGTTTCATTCAGCTGTGACACGGGAGGTGAGGGGCCATCTGAGCTGGATGATGTCCTGGGTCCCCCAGAGCTCATCCAGGGGCCAGCTGTCCTCAGCCTCAATGACAAGGGTGCCCACTACCAACGGGAGTCTGGCCCGCTCCATCCATCCCAGCTAAAACCAGGCCTTTCTAAGAGGACAGGGCTGGGAGGGAAGACTAGATCCCACCCCCCACACCGGGGGCCTCAACTACCCTGGCGCCCCTCCTCAGTTCCCCGGGGAAGGGACTAGACTGAGGCCCAGGCACTCAGGGCAGAAGACCTATCCTTTGTAAGCCGTCCCTGGACTCCCGCTTCCAAAATACCCATTTCAATACACAAATGCTTAAAGGCACCCAATTGTGCAAATAAAGTTCCTTCTCTGGAAAGGGCAGAGGCTTCTGGCCTGGCGCAGAGCTGCCCGGACTGGCCGGTGGCCCTCGGAGATGGAGAGGACGATGCCCTGTGGGGAGCTCACCGGTTCACTGTTTCCCCAAAGGGCTGTGCTTTAAGAACAAGCCCCCCACTCCTCCCCAGCAGGGACACAGCTGTGCAGCGCTGACTCCAGTCAGCAGCCCCTCCGGGCCGGAAAGGCTTGGCCTTGCACATGGCCCGGGGAGGTGGGGAACCAGCAAGGCATCCCTGGGATCAGGCCCTGCTCTGCTAGGAAGAGGGCCTGGCAGGGGGCCTTCTGCCCGCCCACGTCCTGAGTCTGGGCAGGCAGTGGAGGCAGCTGGGAAGCCGGGTGAGGGGCAGGATGTCAGGCTAGGTTTGCAGCCCAGCACCCCGCTTCTGCTGTGCCACCAGCCGCGCTCACAGGAGCTGCCACCCGTCGCCTTCTCTGGATTCAAGCACCGGGCCTGCCCCAGCCACACTGACCTCAGCGAGAACTCCCCCAAGATCGAGGGCTCACCCAGACCTACTTGTGCATCAACCACCTCTGCTAATGCAACACCGCAGAGTGGAGCCCCCTCCACCCCCACCGCCCCCCGGGTCTGGCCTTGGTCCAGTCCACGGAGGTGACTGCTCAAGGCGCAGAGGGAGCTGTCCGCGTGGCCGGGCAGGGGCTCAGCCACAGGGCTGCCGTGGCCATCCCGCGGCGAGCTTCTGCCCCGCAGCAGGCCCTGATGCACAATGGGAAGGGCCTGCCGTGTGACCCAGCGTCTGCTCGACCGAGACCATCACAAGGAGAAGGGACTTTGTGGAGAAAGCCCATTTCAGGAGCTGCTCCGGGGTGGTAGCCCTCGGCCCGGTCTCTTGCTTGCTTTCCTCCTCCCGCTGGGCTGAGGTGCTAATGGAGCCCACTTCAGAAGGATTTGCGGCAAAGAGGGTTAAACCAAAGGAAGCGTGGGAGAGAAGCCTCCTGAGCCAGGGCGTGAAACTCACAGTCTCTCGCTGCCCAGCACCGGCTAATTGAGATCTGACCGCATGGGTACAATCACACCCCTTGATTACTCTTTCCATTAGGTCCTAGGCACTGTTCCCCCAATGGAATGTTCTATTACATTATCATATATATAGAAATACTAACCCCGAGGATGTAGGCTCTTTCCTCCTAAGTGGTTTTGTCCCTAAAGCAGCGCCCAGGAACCCCATGCCGCGGGGCAAGTTAGTGGGAAGCTGTCAGCTAGGGCGAGAGTGTGAGAGCAGCCACTGGGAAGACGGTTTGGAGCTGGCCTGGGGAGGGCTGGCCCACTTTGAAGGCAGGCCCTGCAGAGATCGGCGGGATCTACCCAAGTGGTCTTCTTCTGAGGGGGCCTTCTGGAACTTTCCACGTTAGGAAAAGAGTTCACGGTGGCCCAACCCCCCCGAACCAAAGTGACATTTGGGGTTAAGGAAAACAGGGCAAGGTGGTTACACACCAGACCCCATCTTGTCTTTTCTCTCTTCCTATATATAAATATGTGCATATATATGAGTGTGTGCGCGTGTGTGTTTACATACACACACGCGCACACACCTTTTTTCTTCAATACGTCGTAGTAAAATAATACTATGTGTTATTGCATAGAAGAGATGGCTTCCGCACGCAGGGGCTAGGTGATGGTCTGGGAGCGCTGGCGGCCGCCTGGGGGCTGCGGGGAGGGGGGGACCTGGCTGCTGCCGCCAAGCTGTCGCCGCTGTTCCTCTTGCTGGCGGGCGTGTTCCTCGAACCACTCCTAGAGCAGAGAGCAGACGGGATGCTGAGCGGGCTGCACCCTCCCCCCCCCAGCCAGCCCTACACTCATCCCCACCGGAAGGGGCCCCCGGGCACACATTGGGCACCAGGAGCCTCAGGACAGAGGGGGCGGGGCTGCAAGTCACCCAACTGTGACTGGAAGGTCCCCTGAGCCCTGGACCTGCTGGGATCCTGAATGTGGCCCGAAGAGAAACCTCTCCCTTACTGCAGCGCCAGACAGGCTCAGTCGGTTACGCGTCCAACTCTTGATGTCGGCTCAGGTCATAATCTCACAGTTCATGAGTTCGAGCCCCGCATCGGGCTCTGTGCGGTCAGTGTGGAGCCTGCTTGGGATTTGCTCTCTCCCTCTCTCTCAAAATAAATAAATTAACTTAAAAAAAAGAATCTTTCCCTTATCAATTAGAGGCTTGCAGACCTCCTTATAAATACTCTCCTTGGCACATACCAGCTCTTTAAGTGAAGCCCAGGTAGTACTAATCATCCTCTGTTTGTGGACATAATCTTCTGTCCTTTACAAAGGGATTCCCTGCCGTCATCCCTTTTGACCTTGGCAGGAACGGTGTCCCCATTATATTCCCGGGAAAAGCGAGGCTCACAAGTTGCAGAAAGCGGGATGAACCTGAGTGCCTCTCCTAACTCCCATGTTGCCTGCACCGCCCTCCACTAAGGCTGTGAAAGGATTTTGGGGGAAAAAAAAGCAACCCGCCTGAGACCATTACTGTTATGTCACCCAAGGTCTTCAGGGACAGGTATTCAGGTAATGAAGGAATCAAAACATCTACCTTACATTTTTAAAGAGTCTGAACCACAGAACTTGATGGCTTCAAAAAGACTGAGATGGCTTTCTTGTGTGACCCCTCACCGGACTGGGGGAAACTGAGGCTGGGAGTGGACAGGCAGGCGGACAAAGGACAAGTCCTGCAGTGGAGCGTGTGGCCACGTGAAGCCTCTCCCCTGCCTTGTGAGCCGTTCCTCAGGTGGGAATGCACTGGGTGACTCGCCCAAGGTCACAGAGCCGGCACTCGAACCCAGGTTTTCTGACGCCAAGCTTGTTAGTTTCGAGCCCCTGTGACTCCTGTCTCCTGAACTGCTCTGTGGCTGTGCGCCCCTTGCGTTTTCATAGAGAAGGGGTAAGTCAGATCAGGGGACCGCAGCCTCCCCGCCTTTTGGGCGTGGACACCGGGCATCACTATCCCGGTGGGGAAACAGGATTTTCTCTCTCTTTCACTCTGGGAGAGTGCCAGCAACGGCACAGTCACGAAGGTGACATGGGACAGTCTCCCCCGAGCCCTGGGGATTGAACAGAAGACCCAAAGCAGGACTCGCACACTGGTGGCCTGTGGTCCGTGGGTTCTCTGCCTGGAAAGTAGGACGTCAGCCCGCAAGGCACTTTGCAAGGTCATTTACTTAGCTGCTAATGTGGAAAGATGGGGAGATTTTGTAAAAAAAAAAAAACTTCTCCGTTTTCTTAAGTGGGAACAAAAATTCCCCAAACAGGGGAGCCTGGGTGGCTCAGTCAGCTAAGCATCCAATTCTTGCTCTCAGCTCAGGTTGTGATCTCACGGTTCGTGGGTTCGAGCCCCACATTAGGTTCTGTGATGAGTGTGGAGCCTGCTTGGGATTATCGCTCGCTCTCTCTCTCTCTGCTTGGGATTATCGCGCTCTCTCTCTCTCTCTCTCTCTCTCTCCTCTCCCCCCCCTCCCCTGGTTGTGCTCGCTTTCTCTCTGTCTCTCTCAAAATAAATAAACATTAAAAAAAAGAAACTCCAACCTCTCTGAAGAGCCCCGCCCTTGCCAGCTCAGCACGGCCCCCCCTCCCTTGTGCCCATCTCTGTCCCGCGGTACTCAGTGCACCTGCGGCTCTGGCTCAGAGTAAGGAGTGGAGGTGACGTCCTGGAGGACGCTCTGGTGGCCATGCCGCAGGGAGAGAGCGCGCCGGACCACTGCTCACGTCGGGGAAGGGCTGAGGGTTCATGGCCGAGCCCACGTCCTGCCCAACCCCAAGTCCCGGACGCCAGCGATCCCGATGCACGGCCCCGATCCCCCGCTTGCCAACGCGGCCCCACACTCACGCAGGGACGGAGAGCAGCCCGCGCTCGGCAGCAGGGGGCCCCCTCCCTAGGCAGGAGCTGGCGGGGCGAGCCCCGAGACGGCATCCGCAGGGGTGCGCCTACCTGGATCTCCTCTTGGTACATCTTTAGGCTCAGGTCACTTTTGGTCCTTGATCTCCGTCCCAGAAACACCACGGAGTTTTGCTGAAGAAGAGCGGAGGCTCAGGGACTGCCCGAGCGGGAGCCCCGGCGGCCTGCCCGGGGCTGGCTGGAGGGGGGCGGCGGGGGAGGGCCGGCGCTAAGCTAAACCCTGCCCCCTCCCCTGGGAGCGGCCCCGAGGCCCCTCACCTCGTGTCTCTCCATCTGAGAGAGGACCATCAGCAGCCGGGTGACGTCCGAGCTGGCGGCCCGCACCTCCCGGTAGAGCTCCAGGACAGCCACCAGCTCCTCCCTGGAGATCTCCTTCTCGAGGGTGATGCCGCCGTCAACTGCGGGAGGGAGGCCAGCACTGGGAAGGGGCCTGGGGCTCAGAGCCCCCCGTCTGGCCTGGTCAGCTTCACGCATCTCCCCGCTGCCCCGGCGGGGGGCCTGAGGCTCCCTCTCTGAGCGAGACCGCACCCCCCACCTCCTGCCGTGTGGTGACCCCCCCTCCCCGTCCCTTCCCTGCCCTTTGCCGGTGGTCAGAGCTGCGGTGATAGAGCAGAAGGAGGAACCACCCGGCGCAACATTTACAGCCTTTAAATCTAGAACCGCACTGTGGGCGGAGGTGAGACCAAAGGGGACACGCGCTGCGGGTGACGAGTGTCTGGGAGGCGCGGGGAGGCGGGACAGAGGTGCTGTGCTCCCGAGGAGCCCGTCTGCTGGGTGGTTTTTCTCATCTCACACACGTAACGTTTCTATTCTAAAAATGAGATCTAGGGGCGCCTGGGTGGCTCAGTCGGTGGAGCGTCCGACTTCGGCTCAGGTCATGATCTCACGATTTGTGGGTTTGAGCCCTGCATCAGGCTCTGTGCTGACAGCTCGGAGCCTGGAGCCTATTTTGGATTCTGTGTCTCCCTCTCTCTCTGACCCTCCCCTGCTCACGCTGTCTCTCTCTCTCTCTCACAGAAATAAATAAAACATAAAAAAAATTAAAATGAGATCTAGAGCTTTCTTTGGTCGTTACACATGTGAGAATCGGTGTGAATGAGGGGCCTGTCACAGGTCAGCCAGACAGCTATGAGCTGCGCTGCCAGCCAGACGGGCAGTGGGGGACGCCTGGGCCACAGCTGCCCGCACAGACCTTCCGAGTCCTGGTTCTTGCGGCTGTAGTTCATACGGAAGACGAAGGCCTCAAGGATGAAGGCGACAATGATAGTCATCACCACCTGGCAGGGGGGGGTTGTGACTGTGGAGCCCGCGCTCAGCAGAGCCTGTCAGCTACCCCTGCCCGGCCCCTCCTTCCCGGGCTGCCGCCCACCCGGCAGTGGCAGCTGACGGCCCAGATAAGTGGCTGGTGAAGGGTGTCCTGGGGCCAGCCACCTACCATGGTCACAATGTAGAAAGTCATGAAGTACAGGCGGCTCCAGTGGGAGGTCTGAGAGGTGACACCTTCCTGGGGACAGGGGGAGGCAGCTGGTAAGCGGGTGGCCCGGGTGGGACCGGGTCGCCGTGGATAGCCCCCGCCTGATTTGCCTTGGGTTGTGGGAGACACAGGAAGGGGACAGCCGTCCCGGGGGCTCAAACCTCCTCTGTGCTGCCTGAGGCTCGGAGCTCCCCGGGGCAGCGGGGCTCAGGACTAACGTGGGAAGCTGAGTCCCAAAGGCGGTGGCACTGGGAAGGGTTTAGGGAACGGAAAACAAAAACCAACCGCCCTTGCCACAGCGCTCCCGGACTGAGAAGCCCCTCCCCGAGTGGGGGGAGAAGGTCGGACACCCACAGGCTAATGGGCAGGGACGGAAGCCACATCTAGCGGATGCAGAGGGGTGGCTCCCGGGGCCCAGCCCGTACTGTGGGCACTCCGCAGAACCCCAGCCCTGTGTGACCCCATCGGGGAACAGAAGAGTGGTGCATCCCATCCAGGGCCAGGCAATACCGGCGGTGGCCTCAGAGGCCAGTGGGAAGACGCCCCCAGGAGCTGCCCGAGTCCTTACCATGATGATGTACCAGTTGTTGACAACCGTGAGCTCGAACAAGGTCACTGCCAAAGGGAAGGGTAGAGGAGGTTTTGATCAGACTCCCCTTTTCAAAGTCAGTTTCAGGTGGCCTCTCTGCACCTGTCCTGGGTACCATGCGCCTAAACGATGGCCTCCCGCTTGGGCTGTGAGTTCTGAAAGTCTTGGCCACGGCCTTCCCTGAGAGCCCCATCCCCCCCCACATGCTGCAACCTTGGCCCGGTCCCAAACGGGCGTGCCCCCTGCCTCAGCTGCCTGTGACGAACCAGGGCTGGGGGTGGATGGTGGGGACAGAGCGGGCAGACCGTACTCGGCAGAGATCTGGGATGCCGAGAGGGGTTCCCCGTCCTCGCGAGCTGTGCCCTGCCCCTGCCCCGGCCTCTCCATGGAGCCCAAGAGCAGGGCTGGGTGGGCCTGAGTCGGGACAGTGCAGGCCCTGGGGCAGGTTGGTGGGGCTGGGACAGGGGGTGGGCTCCCTCTAGCATCGGGCTGCACCCCTTCCAGCAGAGCATGAAGCTCTTCTGCTCCCAGGAGCAGAGCCTGGTAGGGAATGAGCGCTGGGATCTGGCCTGGGCCTCACCCCTGGGACAGGGCAAACCACGGGCTCCACTGACACTCGGGGGGACTTGGGAGAGTGTGGCAAACAGCTCCGGCAGGGGAGGCCTCAGACGGCTCTGTTCCACCGCGTCTGGGGCCTGCCGTGACAAAGGCTATGTGCCCGGGGACTGTCCCGCCTGGGGCCTCTGCACTCACCAAAGCTGTTCAGGATGTTGTCAAAGTTATTGAGATAATAGTAGCCTTCATCCACAACAGTCCTGTTGCCCACGGTGTGATTGAGCCAGCGGTAGGCGTCGGCCACTGTGCTGGAGCTGGCCAGGGAAGCAGAGAGAAAGTCACAAGGAAATTGGTCCCCTCGACAGAGGACAAAAGTCCAAGGTCCTGGCCCAGCCCCCAGCTCTCCTGCCCATGTTCCCGGCTCAACGGAAGGCCTCGACCCTGCTCACCTGTCGGGTCACCCTAGGCCCACCCCCGGCCTTTCTGTGTCCATGTGGCATTCCTCTGCTACCACCGGAGCCTCCTCCCTCCCAGCCCCCAGAGGGAGAAGCCAGGAAGGGATCTCCCCGGTCTGGGAGCTGCTCAGAGCCTGGGTGTGGGGCAGCGGCCCCGCGGAGGGGGAGCTCCTGGCCCAGCTTGCCCTGGGCCTGGCTGCAGTGCTCTGAGAGGCCGTCCCTGTTCTGAGAGCTGACTTGCTGCTTGCCTTTCCAGTCCTTTAGGCTGATCTGTCGACATTCAGGCCGGAAAGCCTATGCGTCTGGTCCCGGGGTCCCCAGGCAACTGGCTCAGCAGGCAGAGGCCTGGCCTCCGGCAGCCGCCCTGGTGACTCTGCGCACTGTGAGGCCTGGGGCCCGGCTATCTGCCTTGGGTTCTGAGCTCAGCCTGACGCCCAGAAGGGTGGCCAGTGTCTTAGGAAACCGCTTGTGCTGGCGGCCTCCCGGGCCAGAGTTTAAAGTGAACACTGTGAGTTGAGAATTGATGCTTTTGATGTGGCGGCTTGCAGAAAGGGAGAGGTGGTGGGAGGCTGTGCTCCCCACTCTCCACCCGTCCCCAGAGGGCCTTCCTTGTGGGGATCCGTCTGTCTAATGCCAACAGGCTGCCAGAGGTGACGCGTCTGCGCAGGCCCCACCGCCCCAGGAGAAGTGGGAGGAAGCCATGGGCCTCGGGCCTCGGGCTCCAGGCTGCTCCTGGCTCTGTGGCAGCCTGAAGACCTCGGCCCAAAGGGCAAGATGACAGAGGCCTTCTTGAGGACAGGGACACCTGCTTATGTCATTGCTTCAGAGACGGCCCTCTGATCCCAGGTCTCTCACTTAGCTACTGCACTGAACTGAGCTGCTGAAAGCAAGGCAGAGGGATTCCCAGGGCTTGAAAGGGTGCCAAGGCCGGGAGAGGTGTGGCCCTGAGGCCCCTGAGCTTGGGGGGACCCGCTCAGCCGGGCTGGCTCGGGTTCCCCGCCAGAAACACAGGCTCCGTGGCCTCCAGGCCCCCACCAAGGACTCACTTGCAGCAGTTGGGGTAGAGGGTCCCACAGAAGAATTCCATGCCCACGATGGCGAAGGAGTAGTAGAAGGTCAGCAGAGTGAGGCCCAGGCTGGGGAGGAGGGTCAGAAGGGACAGGGCGACTCAGGGCCAGGCAGGAGAGCCCAGCGCCTCCGGCGGCCCCGGCGTCCTCAGACCCACTGAGCTGACTGACGGACAGGCATGCCCCTAGCCAGGTTTACCAGCTGGAAAGTGCCTGCAGGGAAGGGGCCTCGTGATTCAGGTCTGGGGTCAAAAACGGTTCGAGTCAGGACTCTAGGAACAGGTGCCCCTTTACCAGAGATTCACCCCTTACCTGTGAAGGTAGACTCACAGGTGACCCCTTACCTGTGAATGTAGACACAGGTGGTAAGTGAGGTGACAGCTCCCTGCCCTCCCTACTAGATGCTTCAGACAGGTCAGAGGAGAAAAGTGGCGCCAGGGAGATGCGCGGTGGCCACCGTCGCGGCCTCCTCGGAGACCCGTCAGACCCTCCGTGTCAGTCCTTTCCGGGCCTCCGCCTCTCCCCGCCCACCCAGACTACCGCCCCGCCGCCCCCTCGGGGGCGCCAGCCTCGCGGCCCTGGCCCTGGAGCCGGGGGCCGGGGCAGTACCTGGCCATCCGGGGCAGGAGCTCAAACATGGTGTCCAGCACGTTGCGGTAGCGCTTTTTCAGCTTAAACAACCTGAGGGAAGAGAGCAGGTGACGCCCAGAGGCCGGCAAGTTCGCCCACCTGAGTCCCGCTCCCCCTGCTGCCACGGGCCGGGTGGCCCTCGAGGCCCTGAGGGGGGGCGGTGGTGGGGCCGGGACACCAAGGCTGGACGGCCCTCCCCGAAGGGACTCGGGACCCGCCGCCACGTCCCAGTCTCTCGCTACCGGTTATTTGTCGTGGTTTTCCAACGGAGCCAGGAGGCCCTGAGAGGGGCAGGGGCTGGCCTGGGCCAGTGCGGCAAACCTCGGAAAGAAGGGACCAGAAGCCACACCCACGGAGGAGCCCGGAGAGGGAGGAGTCATTGGTAAAGGGAGGACGCCCTGCGTGGGGAGGAGACGGCCACCACCCTTGGGGCACGGCTGCAGGGTCTTCTAGAGCCGCTACCCTGACCACCTTCCCGCCTTCCCACACCTCCACCCCTCTCCCAGGGCGGCCACGTATGGGGTCGTGCCCCTCGCCCCCTCAGAGGCCACAGCCTTCTGGTGATGACTGAGCACGTGTGTTTCTGAGGTTACAGCGGGGACCATGCAGGCCGGGTTCCCCCGGGGCCGCGGGCCGTGTTTCCTCTCCACAGTCCGAGGCTGCTGGTCCCGGGGACAGGAGGAGACGTCCCCGCAGGAAGGCGACAGGGGCTGGGTGCCTCCACAGGAGGCCGAGGGTCTGACACCAGGCTTGCAGGCTCCTTCTGGCCACTTCCCAGATCAGTCCCAGGGCTTCCCCCGCCCTCCCCCTGCCCGCCTCTCCCCGGCCCCAGCCCTGTCACCTCAGCAGCTGGAGGGGACGCAGGACCACTATGAAATAAAAGGGCTCCATGTTGAAGGCCAGAGCCAGCAGTCCCAGGAAGGCGAACACCGTGACAGAGAAGTCGAACCTGGGAGGGAGAGGGAGAAGCCACGGTCCATGGGGCCTGCCTCCCCACCACGGCTCCCCGCTCCCCAATCTCAGTGCTGCCTTCCCAGGAGCGAGGGTGTGCCCAGCAGTGGCCTGCAGCCGCACCGCTCAGGAAGCAGCCGCCTGGCCGGCCCCCCAGGCATAGCACACACAGCAGGGATCAGAAATGCCCAGAACCAGCCCCTCCCAACAAGGTCCCGCACTGTCTCTCGGTATACGTTGGGTCCTTTGACCACTGACACTGCTGAGTTACGGAGGAAAAGGGCGGGATTCCCACCCAGAGGCCACCCTGCGGGGACAGGGACCTCCGTCCTCTGCACTCGTGTGCGAAGGCCCTGAAAACAGCATGGTGCACCCCCTTCTACGGTTCCTCCCTGACTCCTCTATTTGTTAAGACTGAGACCTTGTGAGCGTAGCTTGATTTCACGGGTGAGCCAACCTAAGTGGGCCGTAGGTGGCCTCCGAGGTTTCAGTGGGTCAGGGACAAGAGCCGCTCGGGGCTCGTCACCACCCCCGGTCAGCTGCTGACCAAGGCCGGGGGCGGAGCCTCCGTCTCGGTCGGTGTGGTTTCCAAAGGGGAGAAAAGAGCTTCCTTGTCAGGATGCTGGGGCGGAGTGACTCGGGCAGAGCCACCAGGCTAAGGCCCCTTAAGAGGCCACGTCCAGGGGCGGCGGGCAAGGGGGCCTGAGATGGTGAGACAAGCGCTTGACCCTGGGCTGTCCCGGGGCCACAGGCGGAGCTGTGTCAGGAGACAAAGGCCTTGTGCTGTCCCTGGCGCTTCCTCTGTCACCGCAGAAACGCCGTGTGTGCAGTGGGTGTGGGGGGAGGGCCCTCGAGGCTCAGATGTGGGTAAGACATATGCTGTCCACTCACAGATTCCACCCGGAGGACAGGTACTCAACGGGGCCAAGGCCAGCCACCTTCAGGAACAGCTCGACCCCGTAGACTGGGAACAGAAGGAGGCAGTTAGCCGAGGCTCTGACCATGGCCTCTCCCACACCTGGGTTGGCTCAGTTTCCCCCTCTGAGACTCTTCTCAGGTCTCCAGCCTCCCGGACAGGCCATGTCACACCCACCACGTCCCTCCCCCAAGGGAGGCCCCGCCCAGAGGCTGCTCAATCCGCTGAAGAGGAGGATGCTCCCTCCCCCTCGTTGGGACCGGCCCCGGCCACCTGTCTGTCCAGCTACCGGACATTTCCTGAGCACCTTTCCTGTGCTGGGCACGCGACAGTGACAACACAGCAGTGCCCACGCGCACTGGGCTCAGGGTCCGGACAGGGGGGCAAGGCAGGGAACAGGGCGGGGCGATGCAGTGTGCTCAGGGTGTTCAGACACAAGACGTAAGTTTCCCTGTCACAAGACGTAAGTTTCCCTGTTTTCGAGAAGAGCCATGAGGTCCCAAAGCAAAGTTCTCCCGGCCCAGCTGTTCAGCAAAGCCTACTCGTCAGGAACCTACTGGTCAGGAAGACGACATAACTCCAGGGCACGTGCTTCGAGAAGAAGTTCCCGCCTGGAACACAAGAGGCGGGGGCTTGAGCACGGTGGCACCAGGCACACCCACCGGAGGGCCGGTCGCCGGGCCAGGCCTCACCTTTCAGCATGAAGGTCTCCACGAGGATCCAGACCCCGTTGACGGCCACCACCAAGTCTGCAAACAGGCTCATGATAAGACAGAGGAAGCACAGGTGGGTGTGCAAATCTCTAGCTCACAGCTGCAGCTCCTCCCCGCCCCCGCCCCCATGCTCGCAAGCAGCCCTGGGCACTGCCCCACACGCCCATGTGACAGGTGGCTTCTTTCCGCTCCGTGCTTTTACCACGGGAGCTCCGCCAGCCAGTGCTTCCGCTCAGGAGATAGCTCTGGATTTCTAAAAACACCCTCCACGTCACTGCAGGGACCAGCGGTTTCAGGAACACCTACAGGTTATTGCCAAGTCCGTGTAAAAGAAGTTTGGGTATTAAAACATTTGCTCTTCCCTAGAGACGTGTGATTTAAAAAAAAATTTTTTTTAATGTTTTATTTATTTCTAGGAGAGAGACAGAGAGAGAGACAGCGCGAGCAGGGGAGGGTCAGAGAGAGAGGGAGTCACAGACTGAAACAGGCTCCAGGCTCTGAGCTGGCAGTCAGCACAGAGCCCGATGCGGGGCTCGAACCCACGAACCGCGAGATCATGACCGAAGCGAAAGTCAGACGCTTAACCGACTAAGCCACCCAGGCGCCCCTAGAGACGTGTGATTTTAAGAATGACGGCACGAGAGGCACCTGGGTGGCTCAGCCAGTTGAGCGTCCGACTTCAGCTCAGGTCATGATCTCACGGTTCGTGAGTTCGAGCCCTGTATCTGGCTCTGTGCTGACAGCTCAGAGCCTGGGGCTGCCTTCAGATTCTGGGTCTCCCTCTCTCTCTCTCTGCCCCTCCCCCGGCTGGTGCTCTGTTTTTCTCTCTCTCCTCTCTCAAAAATAAATAAAAATTAAAAAAAAAAAAGGATGACTACATGAACTTAGCAAAATTACACATTCATTTGGCCTTTCATGTAAATCCCTCTTCTAGGGGGCCACCTCAGCGGGGCACTAGTGAAACCCAAAACAGCGTATACTGCACGCCATTTGCAGGAGAACAATCTATGGGGGCAAAAATCATGAGGGCAGATGATCCACGGGGAACAGGACGGATCAAACATGACATGTTCACAAAACGGCGAAGTACCAACTCTAGAAAGAAATGAGGAACATCTCTATATATCTCTATGTATTACAATGGGTCCCCAGGATATATTTGTAACTGAAAAAAGCAAGGTAGGGAAGGAAGCAAATCAAGTATGTGCCTGTTTATTTAAGACATGGGGACAGGCAGGTATATGCACCTACTTAGCGTTCTTACAAAAAAAAATGGAAGAATAAACCAAACCTCCCACTGGGGAGGTTCGACAGGATATAAATGAGACGTCCTTAAACATACGTTGTTTCATAGATCTGAACGGGGCCCACATAGACATTTTACAGAAGTCTAAAACAAAATTAAATATAAAAAAAAGAGCAATCCATGACAATGAAAAAGAAAATGAAATAAAGAAACCTAAATATGTATGCATTAGGTGACACACCCACATGGAGGGGGAGCCACTGGGACCTTGACACACATTAATCTGGATGTCTGTCCCTGGAGTGGTGGGTCTGTGTGGTTGGGAGATGTTAGGAGCCTCCTGTGGGGTACAGCAAATGAGCAATTGTGCGGGTGGTGCTGGGAAACTAGATTTTAAGACTGGAGATCTGGATATGAAAGAATGAGGAAGTTAGGTAAAAACACAACAGTCCCAAATTTGAATTAGAAATCTCTGGAGAAACTCCTGATATGCTTTATCTTTCAAGACAAAATCCCACCTCCGTGCACGGAAAGCCTAGAAATAATAACCAACCCCAAGCAGTGAGCACCTTTAGCATTTCGAACTGTGGCCTCTAAACACCATGTCCCATGAAATAGAACCAGGGCTCCTTAGAAAGACTCAATTCAGGCAAATCTCTCAATTAGTACTAAGAGAACTTCCTGTGACAACAGACGTTTCCTTCTCTGTGCTGCCCAGCTGGTAGTCATTAGCCGTATGTGGTGACAGGCATTTGAGCTGTGGCTCCCGTGGCTGGGCGACTAGCTGCCACCACACTGGACAGCACAGGAAATGAGTAACGGAGGGAATACACAAAAACAAGACTGAAGGCCAAACAATCCTGTTTCTTCAACTAAACGTCGCAAAAGGGGAAAAAGGGATGGAAGAGAAACCTACAGACCAAAACAGACTTAAGTCACAAAGCACCAGTCACATACTGTGGTTCTGAAATCTGTGCCTGAAATCTCCAGGTCTTTGGGGGCATGGAAGAGCCACAGTGAGGGTACAGATGGACAGAAAGACTGGCTGTGGGGGGGCCGCTGTTGAAGCTGGGTGACAGCTATGCGGATGCTCACGGTCATGGTCATCTCCCCACTTTTATACTTAAACCTGCTTGGAATCTGCTTCAACAAGTCAACATCATGGCTGCAGGGCTAGTCTCTTGCCTCTCCACCTTCTGGGACAGGAAAAGACTCAGGCAGGAAGAGGCCTGGAGCTGTGGTATTTCACACTTACACATGAAATACTGGAAGGCCTTGGACTTCACAAGGATATTAATTCCTATTTGAAGAGAAGAAAGGTTAATAGTGGAATCTTCATTTACGCGTATGCATTTCCCCCCCACCCCTGCCCCCCGCACACCCATGAGCAACCAGGGTGTTCAGGCCCAGGGGTGAGGAAGGAAGGGTGTGCTCTGAGAGCGATCCCATGCTAGGGCTCCGGCAAGACCACACAGGCAGCAGCTGCTCTGGGGACAGCCTGGGCAACCCCGAGCCGGGACGGAGCAGAAAACGCTGCCGCTGCCGCCGCCGCCGCCAACCTTCACTGCTGCTGGCCTTGACCTGGGACTGTTCATCCAGCCACCTGAGTGACTCTCCTCCCACGGAATGGAAAACCCTCTAAAGAATATGGGATGCCAGCTGTGCCCCAAGCCCTACCTATGGGAGGAATCGCAACATAGGATATGCCCTCTTCACTCTCGTTCGTTGTGACCCATCCCCGGCCTTCAAGGCTTTCTGCACCGGAACCCCCCCCTGAGCTAACCAGGCCCCTCTTTGTAACTTCGAAAGCGGCTCTCAATCAAAGGGCAACAATAATGAGGGCACTTCGATTTTAAAATTTTGAATTTTGTGCCGTGCAAGCATGGCGGAAGGGATCATATACACCAGCCATACATCCTGCCACAGAAGGATGGTCATAAGACATTATTTGGTAAAAAGGCAGGTTTGAGGACAGAATCTATAATGTACTCCTGCCACCTTTTAAAAAGCGCACAGAGGGGCGCCTGGGTGGCTTGGCTGGTTAAGAGTCCGACTTCGGTTCAGGTCATGATCTCATGGTTTTGTGAGTTTGAGGCCCGCATCCGGCTCTGCACTGAGCCTGCTTGGGATTCTCTGTCCCTTTCTCTCTGCCCCTTCTCCCCATGCGTTCCCTCGATCTCAAAATAAATAAATAAATAATATTTTCTTCTTAAAAGTACACAGAAAAAAATAACTAAAACTGGAAGGAAACCTATCAGAAAATGAACAGGGGTTACCTCTGGGTGGAAATTTTTCATTTTCTTCTAATTGACTTTGTAAATGTTCTCTGAGGAATATTCCGCAAAGGTCTTCTGGTTTGGTTTTTAAGTTACTGATTTCCTTCCTAGTCCGTATTTGCCTGCTGGTAGCCACACTGTGTCTTGTACACACACAGGCATTCAGACACATTCACGCACACGGACGCCCCCTGAACACGCTCTTCAAATGCTCGTCTGTGGTCTCTGGAAACCTCCATCCGTTCCCCCCCAGCTGCCAAGGTGTCACATTCAGGTCAACCTTACCTTTGAAGATGAGGAACGCTGTCCTGGGAAGCTCATCAAACCAGTGTTCTCTATTTCTCTTTGCCTGGTCAGGAGGCGGGGCCACAGAGAGAGGGCGTGAGGACCGGCGACCAGCACCCAGCCCTGGGGGCCAGGATGCCGCGGGCCTTCCCTGCCTCCCTGGCTACCTTGGGGGACAACAAAAACACTTGGGGATCTAAATAACCACAGAGACGGCCAAGTTCACTGAGCATTTAAATGGAAGCCTGCACGTGCCTTCCTTGTGTATAATCCTGGAAATAATTCCAGGGATTATCGTCAGCCCACGTCCCGGGCGGGATGGGGTCTGGAAAGGTTCCACAGCTTGCCTGGCATCACACAGTTACTAACGGGGTCTCCCTGAGATCTGGTGCTCGTAATCAGGCGGCTCCGGGGCAAGCGAAAGGGCGCACGCGTGGCCACCATAGCCCTGCAGTGCAGGGCGGCTGGGCGGAGAACTGAGCTGTTCCAGCAGGAAGGAGTCAGGCCTCCAACACACTCAGCCGCACGCCCACCCCAGCGAGCGGCCCCGCTCCCTCTCCGGTCTTCGGTCCCGCACGACCACTCACCTTCCACTTCAAGGCAGCGACTTCGTAGATGTCATAAAAGTCCTTCAGGCTGTTGTCAGCAACGTGAAAAGGTAAAAAAAAAAAAAAAGAAAACAAAACAATCAGAACCCGTTGCCACTGAGCTTCAGCCCTCCCTCGTCCACCTGTGGTCACCTTTAAGGGGGAGGGGACATCTGCGAGTTTCCACACCTCCGTGCCCCAGGGACCCTTTATGGGTGCACTCGACCTCCTTCCTCCGGGTGCCATGCCCACTGAATCTGCCTGGTCTACACTGACTACTGACGGCTTTGATCGCTAGAATTCTTAGATGGGCAGGGTCACAGCCGCCTCTAGCAGAGGACCAGATGGAGCGGCGGGGACTGCATTCAGCCCACACAGGGCTCGGTCACTCACGCTTCTACACCTGGCCCGCTCCCTTCCCCAGAATCAGGGCTCGGATCGTCAGCAGTCTGGAAGACCAGGACTGCGCACGCACATCTCAGGGTCGTGTGTGTGTGTGTGTGTGTGTGTGTGTGTATCTGTGTGCGCGTGCCCGGCTCCGTGACTCCACTCACATGGGATTACCCCCCTCCCTCAGGGCTCAAGAGTGGGTGGCGGGGCCAGGCCATTGCACGACACGATACATTCCCTTTTATGTCAAGCCAGCCTGAACTGGGTTTGAGTTCGACTTCCGTTACCTGCGAGAAGAACCTGATGAACGATCCCATCTACAAGTACACGAATCTCTGTGCAGGAAACCAGTTTCTAAGAAGCTTCTTTGCCCACTCACCTCCTGGGGCCCTTTCCCGCCCCAGCTCCCTCACGTGAACACCCTGTCAGCCCACCCTCCTGGCGCCCCCTCTTACCTGAGCAGAGGTGTGTTGCTCTGGTTCAGGGCCTTGAAAGTCAGATAGCGCTCCCTGGCACTCATCCGGGGCCTGTAGAAGCGCATCAGGCCTTCAAATTGCCTGTAGGAGATGCCGGCGGGCCTCTGCAGGGAGAGAGAGGGCAGAGGGCCAGGTGAACCCAGGGAAATACAGAGCCCACACTGCCCTTCCCTTGGGGACAGCCACTCGGACGCCCAGGACAACGAGGGATCCCAGGACACCTGGCGCCTTCTTGTTCTCCCCGGGGCAGAACTCCTGGTTTCCAAAGCTGCTCGCCCGGCCGTGCTCAGGCGCTGCTCAGGGCCAGCGAGAGACCAGGGACCCTCCCCTCCCCAGCCCCACACCCACTCCTCCCTACCCGCTGGCCGATTAGCAGGCGGTAGGCGTGCTGGATGGCGGTTCGCTTATGCAGCAGCAAAGACTTGAACTTGCGTTTCTCAATGTCATTGAAGGTGTCGAACACCACGGCCAGAAGCTGTGAGGGAGGAACACAGGACCTGGGTCCCCTGCGTGGCGGGGCCTCAAAGAGCTGGGTAGTTCGTTCTCTGCCTCCAGAGGGCGCTCCACCTCCAGGGGGCTTGAGAGGACCCTTCCACCCACCCCTTGGGGATAGAGGAAGTTTGTCTCCAAGCACCCGCAGGGGAAGGCCATCCACTGCCACTTGTGAGTTCCTCCTCTTCGGATACGTGAGGACATCATTATATTTTCCCCGGGTGCCCCCTCCACCTAAGCTCACGCCTGGCTGGCATGGCAGTGGTCTGAGGGGAAATAGCAAGAGGACCATGCTCTACACCCAGCAGCAAGGCCGGGGAGCTGCGTCCAGCCCAACCTCGGAGCAAGAAGGAACATCACCGCCCAGGATGGCCCTCCCTCGTCCCCTCGTTCCCAGTCCTGGTGAGTCACAGCCTCATGCACAGCCCCAGAAATCAGGGCAGTAAGACGGCCTGCCCTCCAGGGCACAACAGTGCCAGCTGCCTAATTCCAGAGCCGGAATGTTCACGACACAGTCCAGCACTATCGAAGGGCAGCAGGAGGGCGGGAGCAGATCTGAAAGAAAGCTTTTTTGGAAACGCTTTCTTTTTCTCTCGAAAATATTTTGAGAGAAACTCTCTGGTCTTTTCCATCCCTTCAAACTGGTCCCCTGTTTTTTTCCCCCTTTAAATGAAGAGAAAGACAGCAAACTTTTCCTGTAGAGGGACACAGAGCAAATGTTCTAGGCTCAGAAGGCCAGATGGTATCTGTTAAGGCCAGTACTTAACCCTGTACCCGTAGCGTGAAATCAGCCACAGATGAAGCACAAATAAATAGACATGGCTGTGTGCCAGTAAAACTTTATTTATAGAAATAGGTGCTGGGCTGGCTTTGGCCAGCAGTTTGCTGAACTGTGCCCTAGACTCTCACAGCTCAAAATATATTACAAATGAAAACAAGTCAGTTGTGCAAAATATGTTTTTATGATTCTATACTAATAACAGTATACGAGAGCCGTAACACACATAAACATATACCCAACGTGTTGGTTTTGAAGAATTATAAAAGGAAAATATTTTCCTTTTTCAGATTTCAAGATTTTAGGAGACTTCATACGTCTCCCCCAGGGCAAGTACTTTCTATTTTTACCCTGGGCCAGTGTAGGAATGTCTTCAAAAGTAGACAAAGAAATACAATACTTGATAAAAGCCTCTACCGACAGTCTGGCATTGATGTGTGCTCTCAATACGGACCGAATGACCTCATCCCAGGGGTCATCTGGTGACAGGAGGAGGCTCTCTGGGGGCCAGCTGGGCCTCCGCAAATACCCCAAAGTTCCCCAGGTGCACGGGGACTTCACATTCTCCTTAGAAGAATGCATCCTGGACTGATTTGCTACTGGTTCCCGATCAATGGGATGGAAAGAGCCACATGGGTGCATAAGACAGAGTGGCTAAGGGCACAACTCTGGGATCAGACAGCTCACCGGGCCACCGCAAGCTGTGTGGCTGTGGGCAAGTCACTCTGTCCGTCTGGCCCTCCGTTTCCTCAGCTACAGGTGGAGGATCATAACAGAACCTCCAGGATCTTTGTGAAAAATCATTTAATCCACATGCATGAAGCACTGCGCCCAGTGCCTGACAAAGGCTCCATTAGTGTCAGCTTTGAGAGTTCTTCTGACACATTCGCTGGAGAATGAAAGGTCCCCGGGCAGCCTGACCTAACAGCTGAGCTCCAGTGCTAACAGCAGCAGTGATATTACCCACCGGTAACCAGCTGAACTCACATCCCACTAGGACATCCACCACCACACCGCACTTGACCACAGCCCAGGACCCCATCCCCGACGGAGGCCCACAGCGGGCCCGATTTCTCCATCCCTGAGGTGCCCGGCGCTGTGCCGGCTGGGACGCCTGCTCCAGCGGGGGGAGTGGGGGGGCGCGACACATGCTCACTCACCAGGTTCATGATGAAGTACAGCTCAATGGAGAGGTAGACGATGAAGAAGACACAGGACCAGGGGTTCCGGGAGTAGGAGGGCATCATCACATCTGGGAAACTGCATTCGCAGAGCTTTACCGCACTACCCCGCGGCTGCCTTCTCCCTTGCTCCATCTTCACAGAGGACACCTCTCCCTTCTGCCTTCCCGGCCCCACCTCGCCTTCCCCTCCTCTCGTCCACGTCCACGAGCTTTGAACTCACTGGGCCACCCCCATCCCTCACAGTGTCCCGGGCACCTGTCTGCGCTCAGGTGTGGAATATTCTCGGCTGAAAAGAAAAGACTGTGGGGCACCAGCAGAGGGCCCAAGCCAATGGCAGAGCCCAGACTCACTTGGCTGTGGTCAGAAGGACAAAGAGACTGACGATGCTGTTCTCCAGGGTGCTGAAGTACTGCAGGGAAAGAAGGCGAGCGTGATGGGCCGCCTATAGGGGCCCACCCACCCTTCCCCTCCCCTCCCCACCAACTCTCCCCCCTCCCAAGGAGCCCTGACGGATGGCAGGGGAGAGCAATGCGAAGTCCAGCCACCTCCGGCCTTCTCAAACTCTGCACTTCTTGCAGAAGCAGACAACTGACTGGCCCTGTTTTCCTAGAGAATCACAGGTCTGCACCATCCGTTTGGCTCCCCTCCACTGCTCCTTCGCCACATCTGTTCCAGATCTGATCCTGGAAACAGGCCTCTCAAGGCCAGGAAAGGGGATTCCCTCAGCACTTAAGGAGGGGACTGGCTGAACTGTGGGTGACAGGAGCCATAAGCCATGCTGAGAAACCTTCCTCGTGTGGCCAGGACAACAGGACGGCCCCCAGGTCTGCAGGGAAGGGCCCCACATGGAAGAAGAAACAGATAAACACGGTGATTACTTACCGGGTCTGAAGGATTAGAGGAGAACAGGTAGAAACCTAGATGGTGGCAGAAAACAGACAGGTAAAAAGGGTCAGAGCAGAGGTCCCAAACCCAACGTCAAAGGATTGCACAAATAAACGTAAATGAGCACTGGGGGCAGAGGGAAGCGTCAGGGAGTGGCGGGGACAGCAGCCACTGGAGAATGTGCGCTCTGTCTAAAGAAGCAGATGCGACTGGGCACGGCAGAAATCCTGCCACTGGGGAAAGTGGCCCAAGAATCACCGAGCCTACTGTTTATGGGGCGCCTGGGTGGCTTAGTCGGTTAAGCGTCCGACTTTCGCTTAGGTCATAATCTCGCGGTTCGTGGGTTCGTGCCCCGCGTCGGACTCTGTGCTGACTGCCAGCTCGGAGCCTGGAGCCTGTTTCAGTCTGTGACTCCCTCTCTCTCTGACCCTCCCCTGCTCACACTGTCTCTCTCTCTCTCCTAGAAATAAATAAAAAATTAAAAAAAAAAAAAAGTCTCTTTGTCTACATGAAGAGATGTTTAAAAGAATCACCGAGCCTACTGTTTAGAAAGCTGGATGTATGGGGGGGCCTGGGTGGTTCTATGGGTCAAGCATCTGACTCTTGATTTTGGTTCAGATCATGATCTCACGGTTCGTGAAGTAAAGCCACACATTGGGCTCTGTGCTGACAGCATAGAGCCTTTTGGGGATTCTTTCTCTCTGCCCCTCCCTGCTGTGTGCTCTCTTCTCTCTCTCTCAAAAATAAATAAACTTAAAAAAAAAAAAAAAAAGGACTGGACGTCCAGCACATTGACTAGTTAACAACACTCTGTTATATATTTGAAAGCTGCTCAGAGAGTAGATCTTAAAAGTTCTCGAGAATAGGAGGCAAGATGGCGGAGAAGTAGGGAGCTCCGTACATTTCACTCGCCCCCGTCTCTCAAACGGAGAAGGCCTGAAGCCATAGGAACCTTTACAGAATCCAGGAGTTTGGGAGGAAGAGGAGACAAAGTCCACTAAGAAAACAACCTTATAGCGGCTACCTGAAGAAACAAGCCAAAGTACACATGGTGTACTTCCCAAATACCACGAGTAGGGAAATAAAATAACCAAAGTCTCAACAAGAGAGACTAAGAAACACCATTCAAAGAACACTTCCTGAATGGACAGGCCCTGGACAGTCAAAGAGCCTTCTTTAATACAGCAGTACTCACAGGGGCAAATTACATAACAAGCTTTTAAAACTAACAAGAGACAGAAAGCTAGCCAAAATGACGAAATAGAACTCTCCACTAAAGAAATTCCAGGAAGAAATGACAGCTAAAGAACTGCTCAAAACAGACATAAGCAACATAACTGGACAAGAGTTTAGAACAACAATCATAAAATTAATCACTGGGCTTGAAAAAGGCATGGAAGACATCAGAGAAACTATTGCTACAAAGACTATGGAGCTTAAAAATAGTTGTGATGAATTAAAAAATGCTATAAATGAGATGCATAATAAAATAGGGGCGTCCAATGCATGGATTGAAGAGGCAGAGAGGAGAAGAGGTGAATAGAAGACACAATTATAGAAAAAGAAGAAGCCAAGAAAAAGAGTGATAAACGGATCNTATAGAAAAAGAGGAAGCTGAGAAAAAGAGAGATAAACTGATCCAGGAACAAGAAAGGAGAGTTCAAGAGCTCAGTGATACAATCAAACGGAACAATATCCGTATCATAGGAATTCCAGAAGAGGGAGAGAGGGAAAGGTGCTGAAGGAGTCCTTGAACAAATTATAGCTGAGAACTTCCCCAATCTGGGGAAGGAAACAGACATTGAAATCCAAGAGGGACAGAGAGCTCCCCTGAGATGTAACTTGAATCATCTGCACAACATATCATAGTGAAACTGGCAAAATATAAGGACAAAGAGAGAATTCTGAAAGCAGCTAGGGATAAAAGGGCCCTAACCTACAAAGTGAAACCTATCAGAGTAGTTACAGACCTATCTACTGAAACTTGGCAGGCCAGAAAGGAATGGCAGGAGATCTTCAATGTGATGAACGGAAAAAATATGCAGCCAAGAATCCTCTATCTAGCGAACCTGTCATTCAGAATAGAAGGAGAGATATAAGTCTTCCCAAATAAACAAAAATTGAAAGAATTCATCACCACTAAACCAGCCCTACAAGGAATCCTGAGGGGAACTCTATGAGGGAAATGTTCCCAGGAACACAAAGTACCAGAGACACCACCACAAGCATGAATCCTACAAAGAACACAATGACTCTAAACCCATATTTTTCAATAATAACACTGAATGTAAATGGACTAAATGCTCCAATCAAAAGACATAGGGTATCAAAATGGATTTTTAAAAAATCCATCTATTTGCTGTCTACAAGAAACTCATTTTAGACCTGAGGACACCTTCAGATAGAAAGTAAGGGGATGGAGAAATATATATGCTACTGGAAGTCAAAAGAAAGCTGGAGTAGCTATACTTATATCAGACAAACTGGACTTTAAAGGTAAAGCCGTAACAAGGGATGAAGAAGGGCATTATAAAATAATTACAGAGTCTATCCATCAGGAAAAGCTAACAATTATAAATGTCTACACACCAAATACGGAAGCACCCAAATACATAAAATAATTAATCACAAACAGAAACAATCTTACGGATAAGAATGTGCTAACGGCAGGGGACTTTAATATTCCACTTACAGCAATGGATAGATCAACTAGACAGAAAAGCACTAAAGAAACAATGGACTTGAATGACACATTGGACCAGATGGATTTGACAGATATATTTAGAGCTCTACATCCTGAGGCCATGGAATTCACTTTCTTCTCAAGTGTGCATGGCACATTCTCCAAGAGAGATCATATACTGGGACATAAAGCAGCCCTCAATAAATATAAAAGAATTGAGATCATACCATGCACACTTTCAGATCACAATGTTATGAAACTTGAAATCAACCACAGGAAGAAGTCTGGAAAACCTCCAAAAACATGGAGGTTAAAGAACACCCTACTAAAGAACGAATGGACCAGTCAGGCAATTAGAGATGAAATTAAAAAACATATATGGAAACAAATGAAAATGAAAATGCAGCAGTCCAAACTCTATGGGATGCGGCAAAGGCAGTCCTAAGAGGAAAGCACATTGCACTCCAGGCCTATTTCAAGAAATTAGAAAAAGCGCAAGCACAAAATCTAACAGCGCACCTAAAGGAACTAGAGGGAGAGCAACAGGAGCACCCCAAACCCAGTAGGAGAAGAGAAATAATAAAAATCAGGGCAGAAATAAACAATATAGAATTAAAAAAAAACCAGTTGAACAGATCAATGAAACCAAGAGTGGGTTTTTTGAAAAACTACACAAGATTGACAAACCTCTAGCCAGGCTTCTCAAAACAAAAAAGAGAGAGCACCCAAATAGAAAAATCATGAATGAAAATGGGCTTATTACAACCAACCCCTCAGAAATACAAGCAATTATCAGGGAATACTATGAAAAATTATATGCCAACAAACTGGACAACTCAGAAGAAATGGACAAATTCCTAAACACACACTCACTACCAAAGTTCACACGGGAAGAGATAAAAAAATCTGAACAGACCCATAACTAGTGAAGAAACTGAATCAGTTATCAAAAATCTCCCAACAAAGAAGAGCCCTGGGCCAGATGGCTTCCCTGGGGAATTCTACCAGACATTTAAAACAGAGTTAATATCCATTCTTCTCAAGCTATTGCAAAAAATAGAAATCGATGGAAAACTTCTGGACTCATTCTACAAAGCCAGCAACACTTTGATTCCCAAGCCAGACAGAGACCCAGCAAAAAAGGAGAACTACAGGCCAATATCCTTGATGAATACAGATGCAAAAATCCTCACTAAGATACTTGCAAATCGAATTCAACAGCACATAAAAAGAATTATCCACCATGATCAAGTGGGATTCATTCCTGGGTTACAGCGCTGGTTCAATATTTGCAAATCAATCAATGTGATACATCACATTAACAAAAGAAAAGGTAAAAACCATATGATCCTGTCGATAGATGCAGAAAAAGCATTTGACAAAATACAGCATCCCTTCTTAATAAAGACCCTCAAGAAAGTTGGGATAGAAGGAACTTATTTAAACATCATAAAAGCCATCTATGAGAAGCCCTCAGCTAACATCATTCTCAACGGGGAAAAACTGAGAGCTTTCCCCCTGAAATCAGGAACATGACAGGGATGTCCACTCTCACCACTGTTGTTTAACATAGTTCTGGAAGCTCTAGCATCAGCAATCAGACAACAAAAGGAAATAAAAGGCAAAGAAGAATTGGCAAAGAAGAAGTCAAACTTTCGCTTCTTGCAGATGACATGATACTCTACATAGAAAACCCAACAGACTCCACCAGAAGCCTACTAGAACTGATCCATAAATTCAGCAAAGTTGCAGGGTATAAAATCAACATACAGAAATCGGTTGCATTTTTATACACCAACAATGAAGCAACAGAAAGAGAAATCAAGAAACTGATCCCATTCACAACTGCACAAAAAACCGTAAAATACCTAGGAATAAACCTAACCAAAGATATAAGAGATCTGTATGATTAAAATTATAAAAAACTTATTAAGGTAACTGAAGAAGACACAAAGAAATGGAAAAACATTCCATGCTTATGGATCAGAAAAATAAGTATTGTTAAAATGTCATTACTACCCAAAGCAATCTACACATTCAATACAATCCCAATCAAAATTGGCACCAGCATTCTTCTCAAAACTAGAACAAACTATCCTAAAATTTGTATGGAACCACAAAAGACCCTAAATAGCCAAAGTAATATTTATTTTTATTTTTAATTTTTTTAATAGTTTATTGTCAAGTTGGTTTCCATATAACACCCAGTGCTCATCCCCACAAGTGCCCTCCTCCATGCCCATCAACCCCCTTTCCCCTCCCCCTCACCCCCATCAGTCCTCAGCTTGTTCTCAGCATTCAAGAGTCTCTCATGGTTTGCCTCCCTTCCTCTCCCCAACTATTCTTCCCCTTCTTCTCCCCCACGGTCCTCTGTTAACTTCCTCCTAATCCTCCTATATGTACAAACATATGGTATCTGTCCTTCTCTGCCTGACTTATTTTGCTCAGCATAACACCCTCAAGTTCCATCCATGTTGCTGCACATGGCCAGATTTCATTCTTTCTCATTGCCATGGAGTATTCCATTGTGTAGATAAACCACATCTTTTTGATCCATTCGTCCGTTGATGGACACTTAGGCTCTTTCCATGTTTTGGCTATTGTTGAGAGTGCTGCTATGAACATCGGGGTGCATGTGCTCCTGTGCATCAGCACTCCTGTGTCCCTTGGGTAAATTCCTAGCAGCGCTATTGCTGGGTCATAGGGGAGTTCTACTGTTAGTTTTTGAGGAAACTCCACACTGTTTTCCAGAGGGGCTGCACCAGTTTACATTCCCACCAACAGTGTAGGAGGGTGCCCGTTTCTCCACATCCTCACCAGTATCTAGAGTTCTCTGATTTGCTCATTTTAGCCACTCTGACCGGCGTGAGGTGATATCTCAGTGTGGTTTTGATTTGTATTTCCCTGATGAGGAGGGATGCTGAGCATCGTTTCATGTGTCGGCCGTCTGGATGTCCTCTCTGGAGAAGTGTCTGTTCATATCTTCTCCCCATTTCTTCACTGGATTATTTGTTTTTCGGGTGTGCAGTTTGGTGAGTTCCTTATAGATTTTGGATACTAGCCCTTTATCTGATATGTCATTTGCAACTATCTTTTCCCATTCCATCGGTTGCCTATTAGTTTTATGGATTGTTTCCTTTGCCATGCAGAAGATTTTATTCTTGATGAGGTCCCAATAGTTCATCTTTGCTCCTGATTCCCTTGCCTTTGGGGATGTGTCAAGTAAGAAATTGCTGCGGTGGAGATCAAGGAGGTTGTTTCCGGCTTTCTCTTTTAGGGTTTTGATGGTTTCCTGTCTCACATTCAGGTCCTTTATCCATTTTGAGTTTATTTTTTGTGTATGGTGTGAGAAAACGATCTAGTTTCATTCTTCTGCCTGTTGCTGTCCAGTGCACCCAGCACCATCTGTTAAAGAGGCTGTCTTTTTTCCATTGGATACTCTCCTGCTTTGTCAAAGATTAGTCAGCCATACATTTGTGGGTCTAATTCTGAGTTCTCTATTCTATTTCACTGGTCTATGTGTCTGTTTTTGTGCCAGTACCATACTGTCTTGATGATGACAGCTTTGTAGTAGAGGCTAAAGTCTGGGATGGTGATACCTCCCGTTTTGGTTTTCTTCTTCAATATTACTTTGGCTAAACAGACACATGAAACGATGCTCAGCATCCCTCCTCATCAGGGAAATACAAATCAAAACCACACTGAGATATCACCTCACGCCGGTCAGAGTGGCTAAAATGAGCAAATCAGAGAACTCTAGATACTGGTGAGGATGTGGAGAAACGGGCACCCTCCTACACTGTTGGTGGGAATGTAAACTGGTGCAGCCCCTCTGGAAAACAGTGTGGAGTTTCCTCAAAAACTAACAGTAGAACTCCCCTATGACCCAGCAATAGCGCTGCTAGGAATTTACCCAAGGGACACAGGAGTGCTGATGCACAGGAGCACATGCACCCCGATGTTCATAGCAGCACTCTCAACAATAGCCAAAACATGGAAAGAGCCTAAGTGTCCATCAACGGACGAATGGATCAAAAAGATGTGGTTTATCTACACAATGGAATACTCCATGGCAATGAGAAAGAATGAAATCTGGCCATGTGCAGCAACATGGATGGAACTTGAGGGTGTTATGCTGAGCAAAATAAGTCAGGCAGAGAAGGACAGATACCATATGTTTGTACATATAGGAGGATTAGGAGGAAGTTAACAGAGGACCGTGGGGGAGAAGAAGGGGAAGAATAGTTGGGGAGAGGAAGGGAGGCAAACCATGAGAGACTCTTGAATGCTGAGAACAAGCTGAAGACTGATGGGGGTGGGAGGGAGGGCAAGGGGGGTGATGGGTATGGAGGAGGGCACTTGTGGGGATGAGCACTGGTCATATATAGAAACCAACTTGACAATAAACTATTTAAAACAAAAAAAAGTTCTCATCAGAAGGGGGCTGCCAGGGTGGCTGAGTCAGTGAGGCATCTGACTTTGGCTCAGATCATGATCTCATGGTTCATGGGTTTGAGTCCTACATCAAGCTCTCTGCTGACAGCTCAGAGCCTGGAGCCTCACTCTCTACCCATCCCCCACTTGCTCACGTTCTCTCTCTCGTTCTCTCTCTCTCTCTCTCTCTCTCAAACAAATCAAAATTGGGGCACCTGGGTGGCTCAGTCGGTAAAGCGTCTGACTTCAGCTCAGGTCATGATCTCACAGTCTGTGGGTTTGAGCCGTGCATTGGGCTCTGTGTCGGCTGCTAGCTCAGAGCCTAGAGCCTGTTTCGGATTCTGTATCTCCCTCTCTCTGACACCCACCCCCCTCCCGCTCATGCTCTCTCTCTCTCTCAGAAATAAAAAAGCAATTTAAAAAAATTTTTTTAATGAAATAAATCAACATTTAAAACAATTTTTTTAAATAAAAAAGAAGTTCCCATCATAAGTAAAAAAAAATTGTAACTGTGTGGGGTGACAGATGGTAACTAGATTTACTATGGTGACTGTTTCACAATACCCACAAATGTTCAATCGTTCTGTTGTGCACCTAAAACTAATACGATGTTGTATGTCAATTATGCCTCCATTTTTTTAATTAAAAAAAACAACAACAATTAAAACATTTTTTTCAAGGCTGGAAATCTAGATTTTCATGCAATAAATCACATTTTTAAATGCTGGCTCAACGTTTTCAGACCAAATGAAACTCATCCACAGGCAGGATTTGGGGTCCAGACTGCTGGGTTGCAATTTTGGTTTTGGGAACGTGACGGCCAAGTAACAACTCCACAGAGATCCCCTTGTTCTCCTCTAGCCCAGGGTCCTGGGGTGCGAACACCCTCAGTTCCCTTCCTTCTTGAATGGGCTATTGCCCTGAGTCCTTGATCCCAAGTGGGAAAAGGGCAAAGTTCTGCCCTCCAGGTAATTAGCCCCTTGGAGCACAAGCAAGTTCCACAGAGAGGGGTGGTAGGGTGGAGGGTCGGAGGTAAAGTGGCAGCCGGTGGCTCAGGGTACAGCAGTCATAAGGGCCTGCAGTGCTGGCCTTAGAGACAGGGCTCTCTGGTTCCACGGTCTTCACCCAGGACTAGAGAAGGGACCTCGGGCTTCCTAGCCGTGTTCCACGATCTCTACTACCTCCGTCCTATGTTTGGGTGTGGCCATCACATCAATACTCAGCCTGATCTGAAAAGGCAAGGCCTCTTCAGGGCGAGAAAGGCCGTGATCTTGCTGAAGTGTGTGGATGCTAACGTCCTAGGCATAGGCCCTGAAAAAAACTCTCATATATGTGCACCAGGAGACACGTGGGCGTTCACTGCAGTGTGACATGTCACGGTGACAACACCCACCAATGGAAGAACCTTCACCTAAGAGCAACTTGCAAAGGGGGCCACACACATTACGTAACCATTACTGTAAAATGTTTATTTTTAAAAATTTTTTTTAATGTTTATTTATTGGTGGGGGAGGGGGAAGTTAGGGAAGGGGCAGAGAGAGGGAGACATAGGATCTGAAGCAGGCTCCAGGCTCTGAGCTGCCAGCACAGAGCCCGACACGGGCCTCGAACTCAAGAACCGGAAGATCATGACCTGAGCCAAAGTCGGACACTTAACCGACCGAGCCACCCAGGTGCTCCATAAAATGTTTTCATATGCAAAGCAAGACCGCTTACTTGTTTAAGGAAATACCAAGTACAGCTATTAAGATACGCGTGACAGTGGCATGTTTAGGTCAGGGGGTACCTCCCAGGGGAAAGGGAATTGAGATCGTGAAAAGACAGAGAGGCGGCTTCCATTTTACTCCTAAAACTTCACATCCTAAGCTGAAGTCCGTGGGCGTTTAACCAGTTGTAAAAGTTCCTGACTTCTCCCAACTGTCCAAGTAAATTCTTCTTCCACCATGAACTTGCTCTGAGGAGCTGGCGGGGCCCGGGGGCGCAGGGGACTCACCAAGGATGGCGAAGATGACCATGAAAAAGAGCAGCAGCAGGAGAATGTCCATGAAGGGCGGCAGGGACTGGAAGATCTGTCGCAGGTTGCTGGGGAGACAGCAGGGCAGGAGGGGTGAGGCTAGGGGGAGGGGGAGCAGGGCCCCCGGGAGTGCTGTCTGGGGCTCCACAGGTGAGATGGGGACCGGGCTTCCTGATTCACACAACTACCGCCCGCCGCACCCTGGTTTGTGACATCACACTTAGCGTTTTCCTGGAGGACTTCCGCCCAGTGGTGACGGCCAAGAACTTGGGCAGGTGCAGCACCCACGGCCCTTCCTCCTGCGTGTGGAGCCCAAGCAGGCAGGCAAGGGCCCTGGTGAGTAATGGGGGAACAGCAGACGGCCAAGTGCACGGCCTTGGGCACACAGCTTCCAGGAGTGGATGCACCAAGACATTCCAGGGCCACCTAGTCCTGGGGCCCCTGCTTCCAGCTTTGAGCAGGGCCTGTAGAACCGCCGGCCCGCTCTCTCTCAGTACCCCAGCCAAGAGATCTTCCAGACGGACTCTTTAGAACTAAGCTTAACTCCAGACTAGTGGGCAGGTTTGAGTCCAGCCCCCGGGGCTCGGTGAGGGTGTCCGCCTGCTGGGTCACTCAGACTTTGTGCAGTTGCTGGCTTTGAGCCACCGCCACTGCTCTGTTTGGGCAAATAATGTACCAGAGAGGAGGCAGCCCTATAAAGCCACAAATGAGACAGGAAGGAGCCCAAGACCTGGAGCCAGGGAACCAAACTCGGAGCGGAATAGCGCCTTCCGCTCTGCGTGGGTCCACTTTGAAGGAAGTGAGCGGGCTTATAGTCGCCCAGCGTGCGGAAGTGATCTTATCGCTACTTGACTCGCTGGGTCCTGCCCCACAGGCCTAGAGAGAGCCAGGATAGCGGCCGTCCCGGGCCCCAGGCCTTACCGCCGGACGCCGCCGCAGTACCGACAGTCCACGAGGAAGATGCAGCGCAGGGCCCGGGTCACACGCACATGGGATGTCTGCCGTACCAGCACCACGATGGCCTCGATGAACTGCACCACCAACACGGAGGTCTGGGGGCAGACGGGCACAGAGCTCCATCAGCATCTCCAACCCAGCCCCCCACCTGCAAGATCCTGCCCCCTCTGGCCTCGAGAGGCCCCTCCCTTCCCCTCCAGCTCTCTCTCTCTCCCCCAGCCTTGAGCAGCCCCTGGACACAAGCCTTCTGGCGGCCATCACGGATGTACGGCCCCAGGGGGAGTGGAGCTGTGCTCCCAGCAGCTCACTGGGTAGTCTTCCCTGAGCAAAACTGCCACGCTGCCTGGCCACGTCTGTCCACCCTCTGCCTTCAGCTCTCCTCGTTCCCACCAGCAAGGGCCCCGAGGTCTGCAGCGACCTGCCATTCCCTGGGCACATTCTCCTGGACAAGTGGCAAAGCGCTCCCTGACACATTCCCACTCGCTGCACAGACAGGCGTACGTCACTGGTTACTGATCCGCGTGGGCTCGGAGGCCACCAGACAGACCTGGGTTTGAATCCCAAGCCTGTGGGATCGAGATCCCATTCCTGTGCGGCTGGCAGGGTGTAAACTAGGGACGGTAGCCCGTCTCCTGCAAAGGCTGCCGTGCTGATGCCCGGCCCACACCAGATGCTGAATCATGGTGACTCCTGTTAGCATCACCGCGACATCCGGAGTGCGGCTCCGTAAGGTGTGGTGAGGACAGGGTCCCCGGGTTACAGTTCTGAGTGCAGGGCTCAGCCCATGGGGGACTGGGCATTGAACTGAAGATACAGGCTTGAAGCTGACATGGGAGAAGACGCCAATCGGACAGGGATGCATCACCTTGACCATGGTCCGCTTGTGTCGGATGAAGGTGTGGAGGCCCAGCCACCGCAACTTCATGCAGAGCTCAAATACAACCACCATCAGGGCGAACAGCTCCAGGGTCGCATGCACCTGCAACCAAGCAGCAGGAGGAGATGTAGCCCCCCGCCCCCGCCAAACACCCCCCCCAACCCTGGCCTCCTGGCGGTCACACCTGGCTCCCTTTTCCCCTGAGGCTGGAGCCGGTGGGCGGGACCACAGTCAGGTGCACCGCTCCCCTGGAACCAAGGTGTGGTGGCAATCAGATGGTGCCCCTCCCCAGAATGTTCCAGTAAGCCCAATCACAGAGAGCCTGGGTGCTGTGCATTCACTCCAGCAGGGACCCCAGGCAAGACTGGCCATCCAATGCTGCTCCCGAGGCCTCTATGACCCCCCACCCATCCTTCCACAAGGCCTCCCTGTTTTAAGTCTACACGGGGTATCTGCCCTTCTAGAATGTTCCATTCCAGGCTTGCCTCGCGGACACTCACGTAAATGCCGAGCCGGAGCGCAGGGACAGCAGGGGCCTCACACAGAGAGAGCAGCAGCAGAAGCAGGGCCGTGGACAGCTCCATCAGGTAGAAGAGGTGGTTGTGTGCGAAGAGGTAGGCCGCCAGCGCTTTGGCGTTCTTGGGGTGGGTGAAGAACTTGTCATTATTCTCGCCTTCCTGAAGAAATAAGGGCAGCGTGGGCAAACGGGCCTCTGGAGGACGCGGTACCAAAGAGGTGCCGGGGGCTGGGAGGAAGGAGGGCCAGAGATGGAAGCTGATGATGGGGCAGCAGAAACATTATCTTTACCAAACTGCACCCCTGTCAAGTCTGCGGATGGGGCTCAAGAGACCTGCCTCTTCCTAAGAACCACCTGGAAGAATAAAGAATAAATAGTCCCAAGAGAACAAGAACAGGGGCAGCCTGTGGGAGCCCCTTAGTGGCCAAATTCCTGCTCTTGGAAGTGCCCGCAGATTGTAAACAGCTAGGGGTCTAGGGTAAGCAAATACGGCTGAGTCCTGGCTTCCCCGCGCCTCCCCAGACAACGCTGAGGAAGTTTCTTCCCCTTCTTCAACTGCCAGTGGACTAACACATGTCCTTATTCACAGGGCTCCTGTAAGATGCTCAGGATGGTGCCTGGCATACAATCGGCTCTTTGCTGCTGTTACCTACTATTATGATTATAAATGATACTAACATTGAGAAAGAAAGGAGTCTGAGACTACCCTTACTATACATATATGTTCTTACTATGTATAGCATAGTATAGTGTATGTATGACATATATATACTCCCTTTCTTACTTTCTTGACCATTTCCATCTCATTTCCTAGCTCCCGCACAATAACAGGCCTTGTCCTGATTCCTGAGCTCCAACAGTAATGGGACAGGGGCTGACCTTGACCGACTGCCCACCTGGCCAGGCACCGTGCTCAGTCCCTTACCCAAGCCCTGGACACTCCCTTACTCCTGATCATGTCCCTGTGATCAGGGGGCTTTTACTGTCCCATTTGACAGATGAGAAAATCGAGGCACAGAAGATTCAGTGGGCCCTGAGCTCATGGAGCCGGGCAATCACCAGATTGTGATTAGCCTCCTGCTGATGACAGGGCCCTGGGAATGGTCTGCTTGTGACAAGCAGATGACACCCTAAGGCCATTGCTCACCCTCCCTGTTAGGGTCAGCCTTCTGGTGGCTGCGGGGAGGTGTCTTCACTGCCTCTCTGTAATTGGTGGGCACAGGGCTAAGGGCCACCCCACCTCCCCAGCTCTCACATCAGCACCCATCCAGCAGCCAATGCACAGGACAAAGTCACTTGGTAATAATGTTCTGCACCATCGCCTTTAGTGCTTGGGGGGGGGGGGGCAATGCTGCCCTGCCCCCACTCCCTCGCCCCATCTTGGTCTGGAGACGTTTGTTCATCATGCCTGGGGTGCAGCTGGTAACTAGTGCGCAAATGCCAGGGATGCCACCAAACATCCCAAGATGCACAGCAGAGGCCCCCGTGATGAAGAATTACCCAGCCCCAAACATCAGCAGTGCTGCCTCCTTCACTCCCAGCACAGATGCTCTGCATAGACGCTCCCCACCGGCTTCACCTCCTGGAGGGGGCAGTGGTGGAGCACAAACGGACACCCGGGGCCCCTGACCCAGAGCCCTTCTGGAAGCTGTCCGGCTGTCTTGGAATGGAGTCAGACCTTCGACTCTGCAGCTCCTCTGGGATGAGGCCACCCTCTCCATCCTCACACCCCCTATTCCGGGGAGGGGAGACTAACGCTCCACAGTGATTTCTGCGGAAGCTGCCGCCAGGCAGGAAGACGTGGCTCTGGGCCCGGAGGGCATGCTATGCGCAGAAAGCGCGCTGGCCTAGTGGACTCCTGCGCCGCCCTGAGGCGGCATCAGCTCCCCAGGCCTGTGTCAGACAGCAAGCACGAAAGGCAGGGGATGGGGTCCCGAGCTCGCCTAGCACAGTGCCTGGCACACACAAGAAGTGCTTACTGAGTGTCAGGTAGGATGAACTGCGTCTGTAAGAGACCCCAGCCTGGTCCCGGGACTTCCCAGTAGCTGCGAGGAGGGGAGCTCTGACTTGGGCTGTGGTTTGCAGGGCAGCTTTGAACAAGTCACTTCCCTGAGTCCAGAGACATCACTAGCCTCATTACCAAAAACTAAAAAACTAGACCGGACAGGGGCAGGCCAGACAAACGGAACAAACACCCCAGCAGGCGGACAGAGGGCAGGCCAGCGAGCCTCCCTGGCAGCCCTGTGATCCATGCAGGGCTCTGGTTTTTACCATCGCTGCCAGGGCTGGGAGGGGGGGGGTGCGGGGCGAGGGACGCACAGGTTGGCCCGGGAAGCTTCTGGCTTGGATTGCTAAAGAATGCAATTCTTGGGTAACATCTCCCAATAAAGAGCCAGGTCTGGCTAGAAGGAACCACCAAAAGCAGAAGGGCCGGCTCAGGCTTTACCTCCAGGACTTGGAATTGCCAGGAGCGCAGATGAGGTCTCCTCCAACAAGGACGGAGTGAAATATTACTCACCTCTCTGGGTTCTGATCCAAACCCCAGGGAGAACCCTGGTCTGCTTTCCTCACTGTTGATCGTGTACCAGATTAGGAGAAATGAGAAGGCAGGCCAGTTGTACCTGACTCCTGGCTTCCCTCTCTGCCCCCTGGGGCCGACGCCCACCCAGACAGCGGGGACTGTCTCCGAGGCGCCAGGACCACAGAGCGGTGGCTTCTGAGTGAGTTAACAGGTATAATTTGGGAAGAGAGCAAACCACAGGCACCAGGAATCCTCAAAGGAGCAAGGGGCCAGTTACCCGAACCAGGCACCATCAGCCTGCTTCGGGGGCCATGCCCACAGCTCAGCGGCAAAGCAGGAAAAACAGAAGGACCGTCTGACACCAGCTAACCCCCCACCCACCCCAAGAAACAGCCATGAACTACTGTTCAGAACCGTCTGAGCTCTGCTTTGATTTTTATTTAAAATAAAGGATGCGCTGTCGGTAAGCATAATTCAAATAATACACAGGATTATAAGGCAATAAGAATCCCATCAGCCAAAGATAATCACCTTTGTGAGTTGGATGAATAACTTCCCAGACGGGAATGGGGATCTGTGCACAGGTGTTTGCTGCTATACACACGTGAGCCCGTGTGTGCTTGTGTGTGTGTGTGTGTGTGTAAATGTTATATAAAAATTATCATACTCTATTTGCAATTCTGTAGCCTCCTTTTCCACAACCACAGGGCTTGTTTTCAAGTGGATGCATGTGGCCAGGTAAAGAAATGAAGCAACAACGTATAGAAGAATGAGCACTGTTTGAGGTGAGCTGGACATGGTTTACCTCCACGCTCTGGAACTTACTAGCTGGGTGGCCTTGGCCTCCTTGGGCCCCTCTGAGTACTGTTTGCGTGTCTGTAATTGGGAAATGACCAAACCACCTTGGTGGGCTGTGAGAATGAGGTGCCCACTCAGGGACAGATATTTCCCCTGCCTACGGGGTAAAGGAATTCCCAGATTTCTCAAGTCCCCCAAATCCCCCTAATTCTGTGTTTTGACCCATCCTGTGCCCTTATCTAGTATCTATTCAACCTTAAGGTGACAGTGCGCCGGGTGACCCCGCGGGACCCTGCCGGATGAGACAGGCATGCCCGAGCTTGCCATAATGTCCCTGAAACATTTCTGTTGCTTTAACCTGAATCAAAACAGATTTGTTGAGGAACACAATTTATGTGATGCTGCATAAAACATGAGAGGCATAAAGGGAACTGAGCGACTATCAAATAACTATCCATATGTAATGAAATCTTAAAAAAAAAAAGGTAACAAAACACATACTTGCTATGTGAGAGCTGCTTCAAAGAAAAAAGACCAGGGAAAATTACTATTCAAATGACTTTAAGAAAATTTCCATTTCCTCACCTAAACTCTTACTGGACGCACACAGAAACTGACATCTTACGGTGACAAGGATGGCAAAATTATAGTGACTGATGCTATAGACGGCAAGACGGGCATTTAAGAGGCGGTACCTTACCCCCCCCCCAGAGAATATTCGATAACGATACATCGAGGGCCCTAAAAATGTTGATTCCTTCCATCTGGTAATTCCACTTCTTAGAGGCTTTTCTAATAAAATAATTCTGGATAGTAAAGAGAAAAAGAGACAGAAATAACTCTATGCATAGATTGTCCTCAGATTATAATTTATAATAGGGAAATGCATACTATATAATAAGGGAAATATAAAAAAGATGGGAAAATATCCAGCCTTTTCAGGACAGTTTACATAAATTAGGATCCATTTATCAGATATAATTATAAAGTCATTAAAATTTATTTATAGGAATTATAACATAAGAAAAAAGCTTCTGTTACACACACACAAAAAAAGCAGATTATACAACTGTACATACCACGTGACTCACGTGACTTTAAAATTACTTTACAAAACAATAAAACCTATGTATTATCTTTTTGTAATAAAAATTTTTAAGTTTATTTATTTTCAGAGAGAGAGAGCATGAGTGGGATGGGGCAGAGAGAGGGGAGAGAATACCAAGCATCTCCATGCTGACACAGTACAGAGCCTGACACAGGGCTCGAACTCACAAACTGTGAGATCACGACCTGAGCCAAAATCAAGCGTCAGAAGCTTAAATGACTGAGCCACCCAGGCACCCCTTATTCTTAAATCATGTTGACAGTGACTCAGGTGAATTTTTTTTGCCACATCCCCTTTGTATCTAAACTTACTGCAGTGAGCAGGTATTACTTCTATAAAGAAAGTATTGTTTTTATTGAAAAAAAAAAAAGAGAAAAAACAAAAAAAACGAACCAAGCAAGAAATAGCAAATGTGAAAGCACCAGCAAACTAAGCAGGAAAGAAATAAAAGAACTCCCCCTGCGAACTGGCTGTCAGTGCGTGCGAATGGGTAGCGGGGCAGGGAAGGCCAAGTGGACAGATGCAGGGAACCTTGGGGGCAGGCAGGGCCATGTACTGGGCGTCACAACAAAGCCCACGCACATCGCCCTCCCTGCCTGGGCACGATCGGGCTGGTTCTCCTCACTGAAGGACGAGAAGCTCGCACGCAGAGCAGGGACAGGAACCAGAGCCAGAACTGAGTTTCCGGGCATGTGGCAGGGCCCCGGCTACCCTCCTCGGCCAACAGGCACCGAGAACCGATCCCGATGAGAGTTGCTCACCTGGAGGTAGATTGCTGCCTCTTGATAATTGATCTCCCAGTTGTGTCCGGCGGGGCTCGATGGGGGACTCTCCCCACCTGAGCCTAGACTGGGGGCCCGGGAGTCATGGACGGCATAGCTGCCTCCATCTGTATGGGAAGAAGAGAGTGATTCACTTACAACCTAGGCACATGAGGATAAAGACACCAGTCACCAGAAGAAAAGCCTTGTACGCTCACTCATATATCCCATTACCCACAAGTCAACGCTTGATCCCACGCACTAATAGCGAGAATTAGCATGGCTAATGACAAATGTCTTTCATTCTCTTGTTAAATGCAAGTGCAAAGGAGCACATATAGTATGCTACCTTTTGTGTAAAAAAGGGAGGAAGCAAGAAAACATACGGATCTCTCTCTTTACGAAAAGAAAACAGGAAGGATGTTAGAACTCATGGAAGTCAGTGACTAACAAGGGGTGTGGGGAGCAGCACAGAAGTGGTCACTCCCTTCAAGCGAGTGATCTTTTTCTACTCTTTTGACTTTTGGAAGCACAGAAACGTTCTACTTCGTTAAAAATTAAGAACGATTGGATTTGTTCCCCGGTGCAGTGTCCTCTGTTGCTTTTCCCTGCGGACACCCATACCTCTGCTGCCAGTAACACTCACCCCTACCTGCCTTTGGAGAACACCCTCTCCCTACTCTCCACCCTTTCATTGTATCTGGCCGACCCCACCCCTGACTCCCAGGCAGTCAGGTGCATTAAAAAGCGCCTCATCTCCCTGCACGGGGACTTGTACAGGCAGGGTGCTGTCCCAAGCCCAGCCAATGAGGGCTGAACTTGGGGTCTTTCCCTCGGACTGCTTAGGAAGAAGGGGCTCTTCCTCTGTGGCTGCCTTTGCTGCCACCAGGTGAGGAAAGCCTGCCTGAGAAAGGAAGCCAAGAGAGAACAAAAGAGTCACAGTGATAACATTAGTTGCATTCCTGGGATCAAGCTATCCACCTCTTAGCATTTCCAAAATCTGAGCCCATAAAGATCCTTTTGTACTTAAGCCTGTTTGAACTGGGTTTGTCAAAACACTCAAGTGTGTTAACTGATGCATGGTAAGCAAAGGCACCAATTGGGAAGGTTTATTTTCATCTAGAATAAGAATTTGGTTGCCCACAATGCACACTCAAACTGATGACTGAAGGGGCAAAGAACATTCCTGTACAGGACTTGGTAGGGACACACGCTTTCATTTCTTTCGGGTACATACCTAGGGGGGAAATAGCTAGATTGTATATTTAATTTTTTAAGAAACTGCCATACTATTTTCCAAAATGACTGAACCATTTTACACTCCCACGTGCAATGCAGGAGAATCCTTATTTCTCCACACCCTCACCCACACCTGACATGCTCAGTCATTCTTACTCTTGACCATTTTAAACCCTGTGTGATGGCATTGCACGGTTGTAAGCTCAATGCTTTTGATTTGCATTAGGACTAATCATATCGAGTGTCTTTCCATATGCCTGTTGGCCTCGTGTACATCTTCACTGAAGTCTGTTCAAATCTTTTACTTGTTTCTTCATTGGGTTATTTTCCTATTTTTGAATTTTGAGAGTTCTACATGCATACATACTCTCTAAATATACACAAGTCTTTATTTATTATTAATATATTTACTCCAGCTTTTGATTAATGATTAGTGTGGCTTTCTCCATTCTTTTAATCTATTAGTATCTTTATATTTATATTTAAACTGTGTTTCTGTTTTTAATTTCTAATTTATTTTTGAGAGAGAGAGAAGGAGACAGCAGGGGAGGGACAGAGAGAGAGAGAGGAAAACTGAGGATCTGAAGCAGGCTCTTGCTGTCATCGCAGAACTGATGTGGGGCTCAAGCCCACGAAATGTGAGATCATGACCTGTGCCAAAGTCGGAAGCTTAACCGACTGAGCCAGCCAGGCCCTCCTAAACTGTGTTTCTCATAGGCAGCATACAGTTTGGTCTCACTTCCCCACCCCATGGCCCACTGCCCCATCTGAAAATCTCTTGTCTTTTAATTGGAGAATTTAGATTACTCACATTTAGTGTAACTATCGATATGGTTAGGTTTAAATATATCATCTTGCCATTTTTTTATAGTTCTCCCATCTGTTCTTTGTTCTCTTTTCCTGCCTTCTTTTGGATCACTGAATATTTATTATGATTCCGTTTTATCTCCTTTGTTGGCTTAGCTACAGTGCCTTCTTTTGTTACTCAGAGGTCGCTTTAGGGTTTATAGTACACATTTAATTTACCACAGTCTACCTTCAGGCAATTGTGTGCCACTTCATGTATAGTACATGAACCCTGTTAACAGTACACTTCCTTTCTCCCCTCACAACTTTGAGGCTCCTGGAAACGCAAGGGACTTCCAGTTCACACACTTACTCTTGATCGAGCATCATCTCCATTGCTAGGATATATAAGTATGAGAATCTTTCTGGAAGGAACTGCACCAATGTGGCATCTAAGAAGAATAACGAGTGACCACTACTTGCAGGCTCTGTTTTGTGCTCCATGCCGATGTAATTCTCACAGTCCCGATCTCACGATCATAAGTGATACAGGGCGAGGAGGTAAAGCAACTCACCCAAGGTCACACAGCTCTGAGGGGCCGAGCCAGGATTTGACCCTGGGCAGCCTGGCTCCAAAGCAGGTGCATCTAACTGCACTATACACGACCGCCCTCTAACATTTAACGACTGTGCTATATACTACCGCCCTCTAAGAAAGAAGAGTCTGGAAGTACAGCTGCCAATTGTTTTAAACTAGTGCTAGCACACACATTTGTTCACGCTTACTGCACGCCAAAGCCCATGCAGTGGTAGATTTTATTTTCCAAATATAGCCACAGCATGCTCTTTCATCCTCTGTGCCCTTCTAGAACCTGGCCACTTCCCCAACGGGTGGCGCCTCTGTGTCCGTCCTGAAACCAGGTGAGCCTTTGTGACCGCCCTGACCAGCGTAGGATGGAGGACAAACTGCTGATGACCTCCGAGGCGACGTCACAAAAATGCTCCCACCGTTCTCCTCTGGGCCCCTTGCTCCTTCCTGGCACGCAAACACGGTGCCGTGTGGAAGCCTGTGCAGCCGGTGGGGAGGCCCATGGAGAAGAAGCAAGCCCCCCCCTGCCACAGCCCAGCCGAGCCCCCCAGCCAGCGGCCTGCACCAACATGCCAGTCAGGCAAACAAGCCATCTCAAACCCAGATCCTCAAGCCCCAGACAAGTGCCCAAAGTGACACCGTGTGGCACAGTCGTTAAGCGCCTCCATCGGGCCCTGCCTAGGCTGCAGACTGTTGCACAGAATATCCTAAGGCTGTCTGTGCTCTCTTAGCGACAGATAACTGACGCATGTCTAAGTACTTCACACCAACTGAGCTGTTTACCTCTCACAGCGATCCTACAAAGGAGGTACTATTATTCTACTTCGGACTTGAGGAAACGAGGGTGCAGAAAGGCTAGGTGCCTCCCCGAGGCCAAGCAGCAGGTGGGAAGCAGGGTCGGGATACCAAGCTAGGTGACCAGTTCCTAATCAGCAGGCTTCATGCCTCTCAAGGATGAAACATACAGTAGCAGTGCCATCCCTAAGTAGGGGTGTGGCAGGAGGCAGGACACCTGCCTGCACTTGGCCATTCGGGTCCTTCTGTACCCACTGCCGACACTCCCCGACTCTGATCCCAGTGTCTATTTCGGAAAGGACTAAGCCCTAGGCGGAGACACGAGAAGGTCAAACCACCTTCCCAGCTGCACTCACGAGCCTCCCAGGTAGCAGCCGCGGGCAGGCAGCTGTGATCCCGCACGCCTGTCTTGCACGATCTACACGCGCCACGGCAGGAGCCTGTGCCCGCAACAGGTCCTCGGTGAAACCAGTGCCAGGGCTGCGCGGGGTGGGCGGCGACGGGCGGCACAGACAGCGGCAGATGGGAGCGCCCCTCTCCCGGCCGGCCGGTGCGAGACACTGGCATCCACGTGGACCCCGCCCCCGAGGCCGAGCCCTTCCCAGCCCTTCCCAGCCCTTCCTCTCTCGCGCGGGGGTCTCAGCAGATGGCTTCAGTTCTTCCTCCCTCCCGGGAGCTCCCTGAGCCCATTTCTCGTGGGGGGAGGCGCCTGGCCCTCCTCAGTTTCCCCACTTTGTCTCTCACCACTTACACCGCACCACTGTGATGGGGGGCAGGGGGGACAGCGTCTCCCAGTGCAGGTCGCACCTCGCCACCCGCACCTCACTCACACCAGCGGGTTTCCCCGGGAGCAGGCGCCCCGCGGCACCCCAAAGCACCCCAGCCTGGGTGCCATCTCCCCCTCCATGCTGCAAACTGCCCCCTGCGGTCTGAAACCCACGGGGACCACTGGGACAGGGGGAGGGCCGGAGTTCCAGCCTCTGATAGAAAGTTTTGCCATCGCCTTTCTCCCCAACCTCACAGCCAGTGTGTCACCAGGTGTGGGAGGGTCTCCTCTCTCACCCGCACTCCACTCCCCACCCTCGCTGCTCTCCTGCCCTCCACCTACGGGACAGCGACCCCCTCGGACTGGCTCGCACTGCCCGGGGCCTTTCCTGGCACTTCCAGGCCAGGCTCCAGAGGACAGCTGGTACCAATGGAGCAGGGACACTGGGTCCCCATGTGACAGTGAGCACCACAGAGAAGACGCGTGCTCCATGGGCCGGCCAGTGTGGGACAGACGTGCTGCAGGGCTCTGAAGGGCAGAACGAGACCCGGGAGGGGAGGCCACGGGTAGGGCCTTTCAGACAAACAGCCCTGGGCAGAGGGGTCTTTAACTGGCATGTCTGATGTACTAAAGTAAGTTAATAAATGCTAGGCTCTCTCACAGCTGGATACAGATCTGTTGTTTTATTCCAAATATGAACTGTAACTTGGAAATAGTTCTTAGTAAAAGAATTTGTGTTTATTTATGTTGAGAGAGAGAGCGCGCCAGCGGGGCGGGGCAGAGAGAGAATCCCAAGTAGGCTCCGGGGTGTCAGCGCAGAGCCCGACTCGGGGCTTGACTCCCGCGAACTGTGAGATCATGACCCAAGCCGAAATCAAGTCAGATGCCTAATGGATTTGAGTGCCCCTCCTTAGTAAAATTATTTTAAATCAACAACTGTGTCGTTCATCCACTCATTTGTTTGGTGGGCGTCCCCAGGGGCGGAGGGCAGTGCTGGGCACTGGGAGGGGACTGGAGGCTCTGGCATCCGGAGGCAGCAAGTGCCCCATCACCATGGGGCCCCAGGAAGAGGTTGCACAGCCATTCCACCCCGACCGTGGGGACGCTGCAATGAAAGGAGGCTCTTCCAGGGGCGCCTGGGTGGCTTAGTTGGTTAAGCGTCCGACTTTCGCTTGGGTCGTGATCTCACGGTTCGTGGGTTTGAGCCCCGCGTCGGGCTCTGTGCTGACTGCCAGCTCAGAGCCTGGAGCCTGTTTCAGTCTGTGACTCCCTCTCTCTCTGACCCTCCCCTGCTCATGCTGTCTCTCTCTCTCTCCTAGAAA